CCCCCCCTTTCTCTCTTTTTTTTTTTTTTCTTTTTTTTTTTTTTTTTTTTTTTTTTTTGGTTTTTTTGGTTTTTTTCATCATCATCAACAACTCCCTCACCAACCACTTCGACCAACCACTTCATCATTGTCTCCCTCACCGTCCACTTCGTCCCACATCCTCGTCATCAACTCCCTCGCCTCCACTTCATCTCTTTTTTTTCTTCTTTTTTGTTTTTTGATTTTTTTTTGATTTTTTTTTGATTTTTTTTTGAATTTTTTTTTTTTTTTTTTTTTTTTTTTTTTTTTTTTTTTTTTTTTTTTTTTTTTTTTTTTTTTTTTTTTTTTTTTTTTTTTTTGTTTTTTTTTTTAATTTTTTTTTTTTTTTTTTTGGTTTTTTGACTTTTTTTTTTTTCCAACACCTTCATCAACGGCAGCATCAACACCTTCATCAGCAGCAACAACAACATCATCATCATCACCCTCACCTCCACTTCATCCAACATCATCATCTTGAACTCCCTCACCTTCCACTTCGTCTCTTTTTTTTCTTCTTTTTCTTTTTTTGATTTTTTTTTTTTGGTTTTTTTGGTTTTTTGTTCTTTTTTTTTTTGGTTTTTTTTTTTGTTCACCTTCATTCACTCACTCGCCATCATCCCAGGGCCACGGCAGCCTTCTTGGGAGGGGGTCCGTCCTTCTTCTTGATCGGAACAGACTTGAAAAACGTACCAAACGCCTCGCACTTGTCCTTGAAAGAACCCTTGGTACAGTTCACCTGGGGCTTCTTCTCAGGCTCCTTGGGAGCAACAGGCTCCTTCTTGACAGCCTTAAGCTGCGGGCCATTGGCCAAAAAGTTCTTGTTTCCTCCAGCAGCAGCTGTAGGGTTGTTGGCAGCATCAACCAAAAAAGCTGGAGGAGGTGGTGGGGGTGGTGCTGCAGCGTTGATAAGGAAAGCTGGTGGAGGAGGTGGAGGAGGAGCGGCAGCATTGGTAAGGAACGCTGGAGGAGGAGGTGGAGGAGGAGCACCTTTTCCAAACTGGGGATGGGCAGCTGGAATAAACACCTCGTCCAGGTCCATGTCAATGTGGAACTTTGGAGGGCTCTTCTTTTTTGGGATTCCAACTTCCTCGCCATTGAGCTTCTTCGTCATGAGCTCTTCAAGCTTGTTCTTGATCTTGGCGTTCTTGTCGTCAGGCGAGTACTGCTTCTTGGGCACCTTGTACTTCTTCTCTTCTTCCTCTTTCTTAGCGATAGTCAAGGGGTTCACGGGCCCGTCAAACGACAACCTTCCGTCGTTGATAAGGCTGACCTCGAGCTTCAGCATCATGTCCTGGAACTTGGACGAGAACTTCTTGTTGTCGGAGTAGTCGACCTTGGCCTTGATTTCCGACAAGTCGAGCTTCTTTCTTCTCTTTTCCTCGAGCTCGGCTTCCAAGGCAAGGTAGGCGTCACAGGGCGCCTGGGGGTCGTCGATCTCCTCAGACTCTTCGGATTCTTCTTCGACAGGTTGCTTTGGAAGAGCAGGAGGAGGAGGAGGAGGACCAACAGGAAGCAACGAAGGGGGAGGTGGAGGAGGAGGAGGGGGAACGAAGGCGGCGCCCTTTCCATTTCCCTTTGATTCTTCCTTCTTTGGTTCCTCCATCTTCAAATTATCCTTCTTTGGTTCGTCCTTCTTTGGCTCCTTCTTCGACTCAGTCTTAGACTCAGCCTTCTTCGACTCAGTACCCTCCATCTTGGCCTTCAAGGCGGCAAGCCTCTGCTTCAATTGGGCCTTCTTCTCCTCCTTGCCCAGCTCAACCTTAGACAAGGGATCAGATGGCGGCGGAGGAGAAACAACTTCCTTTTCTTTGTCCAGCTCAACCTTAGGCAAGGGATCAGATGACAAAGGCTTCTCGGCGCCTGGCTCAACCTTAGATAAGGGCTCCAGAGGCGATGGAGAAGCGGAAGTGTTTGAAGCGTCAGAGGAGGCCTTGGAGGAGGACTTGTGTAAATCCTCCACGGCACCGTCCATCTTCTTTCTCAACAGGGCAAGACGCTGCTTGAGCTGGGCCTTCTTTTCCTCCTTGGAAGGGGAGGTTTCAGGCTTGGGCTCAGTAGTGGCAGCGGCATTGAGTGTTTTCGAAGGAACGGTATCCAAACGGCTTCTCAAGCTGGCGATCCGAGCCTGGAGCCTGGCCTTCTTTTCCTCCTTAGAGAGGGATTCAGAAGCGGCAGGTTCGGATGGAGCTTGGGCTGGAGGGTTCACAGACTTGGAGTCAGCGGCATCAACAGGGGAGGCATTGACGGACTCAACAGGGGTTTCGACTTCGGCAGCGGATTCAACATCATTAGTGTCAGCAACAGGCTGTGGTTCAGTTACCTTCTGAGAGATAGGCTCTGGAACCACAGGGTTTGCATCGACAGGCACAGATTCAACAACCAGAGGAACAACAGCATCCTCAACAACAGGAGATTCAACAACCTGAGAAGCAACATCCTTCTCAACAGGCTTAAAATCAACAGGCTTCAAATCAACCGGCTTCTCAACCGGCTTCTCAACAGGCTTCTCAACAGGCTTCTCAACAGACTGAGGCTTTTCAACATCAGACTGAGAACCAACGGCGACAACAGGCTTGGAATCAGCGGCCTCTTCAATGACAGGCTCAGCTTCAACAGCCTTCTCAACAGAAGACACAGATTCGACAGTCTTCTCAACCACAGGCTGTGGGTTAGTAGTCTCGACGACTGGCTTCACAACCTTTTCAGCGTCTGAAACCAGCACAGCATCAACAGGTGCCTCAACGGCAATAGGTACCTCAATGGGTGCAACAGGAACATCTTCAACTGTCTTGGAGACCTCAATGGGCTGAACAGAAGAAACCTCGACGGGCTGAATGGAAGGGGCCTCACTTGGGGCCTCTGGATTCTTCAATTCCACGGAATCCACCTTCTTGGGAGCTTCAGCCATCTTGGCCTTCAACATGGCAACTCTTTCCCTCAAAAGAGCCTTCTTCTGTTCCTTCGCCTGCTCAGCCAGATCCTTGGATTCGGTAGCATTGGTTGAAGAAACATCACGGCTTGCCTCCTCCTTGGTCTCCTTAGGCAATGGCTTCTCAACGGCAACAGCCATAGACTGCCTGAGCAGAGCAAGGCGCTTTCTCAACTGCTCCTTCTTCTCTTCCCTGGTGAGGTCGAGATTGTTTTTAGGAACAGCTGGTGGGGATACTGGCTGGGGGTTAGTTTTAGAAACGGCATCAACGGCAACAACAACATCACCATCCTTCACCTTGGTTTCTGTTTCAACGGCAACAACAGAAGCGGCTGACTCACCGTGGGTGGTATCAGCGGGAGGTGAAACGGTAATTGGCTGAACGACAACAGGCAAGGAAGGGGTGGTTTCCTGGTCGACGGGAGCGGTTTCGGAAAGTGGTTCAGTTACCTCCTCGATCACCGGCAAGACAGGCAGCGGGGTCTTGGATTTCGAGGGGGACTGGGTTACTGGAGATGGAACTGAGGCGATAGAGAGTTTTGAGGTGGGCTCCTCAACTGGCACCTCAGCTGGAACCTCAATTGGCTCCTCAATTGGCTCCTCGATTGGCTCATCGACGGAAACCTTGACGGTCTCCTCAACGGATTCGTCAACGGTCTTGTTGAGAGATTCCTTTACAGGCTCCTCAACAGGCTCCTCAACAACGACAGGCTCTTCAGTCTCCTGAACAGGCTCCTCGAAAGGAATCTCGACGGAGACAGCGACAGAGACATCAACTGGCGTCTGAACATCCTGAACAGGCTCCTCAGTAGAAGACTGAGTAGAGACCTCAACGGAAGTCTCAACAGGAACCTCAACAGAAGCTTCAACAGGAACTTCAACCGAAACCTCAACAGGTACTTCAAGAGAAGGCTCACCAGACTCCTGAATTGGCTCCTCAACAGGTTCTTCAACAGGCTCCTCAACAGGTTCCTGAACAACTTCCTCAACAGGTTCCTCAACAGGAGACTCAGTGGAGACATGAACAGCATCCTCTACTGGAGCCTCGACAGGAACCTCAACAACGGCATCAGGAGCCTCAGAAATCTCAACAACGGCATCAACAACGGCACCAGGGACCTTTACAGACTCAGTAACCTGAGCAGGCACCTCAACGTTCTCAACTGGGGTCTCAACTGGGGTCTCAACTGGCACCTCAGCTGGAACCTCAACACTAGCATCGTCACCGGAAAGAGAAAACTCCTCGGCAGCCTGCTTCATCACGTCGTCGGCCATCTTGAGAATGGCGTCCACGCAGACATCCGAGCGGTAAGACACGAAGTCGTGCTTCAATGGCTCGGAAGAGAGAACTTCCTGGGGCTCTGAAGAAAGGACCTTCTTCAATGGCTCGGAAGAAACAAACTTCTCCTTCAATGGCTCAGAAGGAAGAGCCTGCTTTGGCTCAGAAGCAAGAACCTTGGGCTCTGGAACATCCTGGGAAACCTGGTCCTCAGACCCAACAGGCTCAGACCTGTCAGGCACTTCACGGACAGCCTCAGGCTCCTCAAAACCTCCAGAAACAGAAATGTCAACGGCGGGCAAGAGACCAGCGGAGACGGCCTCCTGTGGTTTCTGGATCCCAGCCGACATCTCCAGCGCCCATGGGTTTGCAGCCATTTCGTGCATGCCGGCAGTGTAGAAGTCAAAAGCCGTGCATGCCTCGCCCAGTCTGACGCTGGCAACCACGGGGGTGGCCGGCGAAGGGGGCTGTTCGGGCGTAGAGTGGTGGGAAACCGGCTCAATGGGTGGAAAAGCTGGAGAAACTGGCGTTTCCACCTCTGGAGAGGGTTCCACTGGAAGTGCGGCGGGTGCGGCGTGCGACATCGGAGGCTCCAGAGGAGGCTCCAGAATTTCGACTGGAGCGTCCAAAATCACTTCTGGAGCCTCCAGAACAGGACACTCTGGAGCAGAAACCTGCTCGGGCTCAGCACCTGGCGAATCCCCCAAATCTCGATCATCGGGGTCAACTCCAGGATGCCAGAGGGTACCCGCATGGAGAATCTCCTGCGACGACCACGCGGACGCGGGAGGCGAGTAGTAGACAGCCCTGGCGGGAGCGGCACGCGCCAAGACGTGATCTATACTGCGCACCTCCTCGAACTTGGGCGTGGTGGCACCTACGGAAACTCTTACTCTAGCACCAGGGTCCTGCGGGTTAGGAGCGCGCGGCCGCACGCGCATGAGCGGGTACACCGGGTACTGCACAGACTGTACAGGCGACGTATCCTGCACAGGCGGCGCGCGGTCTGGTCGAGGTGCGCGGGCGTGCGCAGCTCTAATCTTGACAGGCTGCACGGCGGCAGCAGCGTGCGCGGCCGCACCTTTCGCAGCCAGAATGTCGTGCGACTGAGACATTGGGGCTCCGTTTGTGGCAGCCTGGGAAACACCTTCCAAACCCTTTCTGCCACGTTTCTTGCCAGGAATCAAGAATCCGAACTTTCTGGTGAGCCAGGAAGGACGCTTACCGTAGTCGGCGTCCGCGGCAACTCCCAACTCAAAGTGAACCTTGTTCTTTCTCTCCTCCTTAGGCTGGTAGGCACCTCTAGCGCTGACTTTCTCCTTGCAAGGACCAGAAACCTCCTTCTTTGGCAAGGGAACAGCACCAAAGGCACAACGGGCAGCGGCCATGGCGTCGGGGTTGGCGTCGGCAGTCAAGAGAGGCTTGTTCTTTCTGACAGGAGCCTTCTGGGCCTTTGTGGCCTTGGGAGCGATGTACTCAAAAGGATTGTTGAGACGCTTGTGGGCGTCCTCCTCCTCCTGAGCCTGCTTCTGGGCCTTCTTGTGGGCCCGCTTCTTCCTTCTCTTCGAAGAAGCCTTGGGGATCTCCTTGAGCTTGTCCACGAAGGACTTCTTGGGCTCGTCGGGGGTCTCGTGCTTTGTGGACAAAGCACCTTCCTCTGACCATGGAACACGGCAAGAGGGAAAGAAATGGGCCATCCGCTCGGGGGTGGATTCCATTTCGACAACAGGTGGAACTGTTGGGCACTGATACTTCGACTTAACTGGAGGCATCTTTGGGACTGTGGTGGGTAGGGAGAAAAAGAGTGTGCTTGTGTCAGTCGCTCTTTATAGTGGTGCTGCGGCGGCGTGCAGGCCAACGACGTCGCTACTATGTACAGCTTGTATAGGGGTGCTTCGCTGCGTGGTCGAAGATAAGGGCCCTTATGTGGTTTGTGTTTGTGGGGTGGTTGTAGGGTCGGGTCCAATTGGTCTGACAGGCTTGTGCATTAGCGATGCAGGGCGGGTAAACAGAGTGGGTTGGGGGCATTGGTGGAATGGGCTTTGTTTAGTGAGGTATATAGTGCGAGAAGTGATGTTGTTGTCTAGAAATGTGGGTATGCTTAAGAGTACTGGTTGTGCGATAGTGGAGGAAGTGCTAAGCCCAGTAGATAGTATGGTTTCTCAGGTTTAGGGAAAAGGACGCTCCAATGCGTTGGTAATCATGAAAAGGAAGAAGCCCCCTTTCATTGGTATCAAGGCTCTGATTTGGGTGGAGTATGAGTACCAGTCTGGGTACCTAAGACATACTTTCCCTAAAGAGGAAGCGCCGCACGTCAAAAAGGCGGCTGAAAAAGTAGGTGGAAGACATCAACAAACACTAGTACCGTTGAGCTAAAACTTGGTCTCATGCTGGTCATTCATTTTGTACCTTCTAGAAGGTTCCATCGATGCCACCATGTCTCCTATCTTTTCAAACAGGCTCTAGGTCATCTATACCATCTTTCTGTACCTCTTCGTTGAAATTCCCCAAGTTATCCAGAACGAAAATCAAAATAAGGAAACCCTAAAAGGTGATAGAAAAGACTTTACAGGCTATCTATGGATTTTCTAGTTTTGGACAGTGCGTTGATACTGCGACGCTCAGGCCTGTCATGGCTGCGCGACATACAGACTACGCATGGAGGCATATCTAAGTGCGTCCACGATCCTCGAGAACAATGCAAATATACGAGTACCATAATGTAGCCGATTTCCAGGAGCCTCAGGAGAATTGGAACGTTTGGGTTTTATTGAAGAAGCGGCCATGGCTTCTCCTATTTCCCCACAAATAATATTTCTGCCTTCTCAAATAATATAAGCACCTGTCGCGAAGCTCAGTCACACTAGAATAAGACCTTCCCAAATAAAAAAGCCTTGGATGACCAAAGATCTTCGAAATGAGACAGCTTCCTCGTCAACACCCACTGGAAATAACGGGTGAGCACCTAGTTGTGGTCCATACTTAATTTGGTAGCCTAGCATGGCTGCTGAGCCTCAAAGCTACGTCATTGATCTTCACTGACCTGTCTGACTGAAGCTTTTATTAGCCTCTCACTTCTGTGCCTCTTCTTTGATGATGTATAGCGATTCAAACTGCAAAGAAGCTCTTCGAAGGTCATTGGAGACAAAAGGGGCTCCACAGACCGCCACAGGCCTCTGCAGGGCTCCGGAGTACCCGTAGAGCTGAAATTGTACAACACTTTATGTATCGTGTTGAAAAAAGTGGAAAAAATTGAAGATTTGGAGGCCAAACATGACCCCTAATATATAGCGATATATTTAACCTGTGCAGTGGTTTACCCAAGTTGTGACTTCGTGGCCAAGTTGGTTAAGGCGTAAGACTGTTAATCTTAAGATCGTGAGTTCGACCCTCACCGAGGTCGCATTTTTTTTTGCGTTCAGGCTACCCTGGATGCTTGTTCATTTTTTCTAGAGGCACAGAAAATGATTTTTCGAGTTAAAATCTTCCGAGCAAACCTTTGTTTCGTGTCCATGGAGAGCGCATTCGAATTTCGCAGCCATTCAGGTCCACCATTTACCTGATAAAATTCTGCAGCCAAGTCAACTGTTCCAAATTCCCCTCGGCTTATTCTTTTTCAGAGAAGTCTAAGCTCTCTATGTCCACGTTTCATCAAACAGAGAAGCTTGGTCATTACAAAACTTCAGTATATGAAGATATGCCTCGTGAGAGTACCATACACATTAGACCATGAAGTTGCAGCCCCGTTCTTGCATCCAGAGAGCCACTTGCATCCGTACGTCTCATTAACCAAAATGTGTCAGAAAATCCCGGCCAAACTGCCAATTCACTGTCAAACAAGCTATTGAGGTTGAATAGATGGATCACCACCTGCATATAGCACCAAAAAGACTCACAGACCCGTGCACCAATACAAATCTCTTAAAAAAAGACCCCCCAAATCAGGTGACTTTTGCGTCTTTGGCGCAGCGGTCAAGCTCCCTCGCAGCAAGCCGCAAGTACCCGCCGACGTAACAGGTTCGAATCCGGCCTGGGATATTCCAATGCGGGTGGGAAATTCGGTGATTCTCCCCATCCCCTTTCTTCGGAAAGCGGTCAATCTGCTCCTGAGAGCCTCCAGGCGTGGACTCACGCTGGGCGTCGCCATCAGAAAACACAGCCATCTTGTGTGGCATGGGAGGCGGCGCGGATGGTTGGTCTTCTGCCCTAGGGCGGAATGGCTGTTGAGTGCAATTTGCGGCCTCTGGCACCCGATACCGATCAATGCTGCGAGTGGGCCTCTTTTTGGATTTTTGGATTTTGGATGGGTTGAAGATAATCGTTAAAAAAAAAAAAAAGAAGAGGATTTGGGAAGGTTGTTTTTGGTGGAGTTGTGTGGTTCATGTCGCTCTGAGATGACTTTCGCAGGACGGGTTGGTTAGACTTTCTTGCACCCATTGATTTGGGGGAATGCTGATGTTGTTGCGCGTTGTTTGAAGGTATGTTTTGCTGACTTTGGACGATTGATTTATGGGTTTGTTGGTTGATCTTGCTGATTTTTCGTTTTGCTTAAGCTGTTGAAGTATGGGTGCTTCTGATGGGTTAGGATGTACTTTTTTGCACCCATTCGTTTGCGGTGATATCAGGGGAAAGTTGCATTGAGTGCTTATTTAATTGGATTCAAGGGGTCGCCTTTGTATGAATTAATGGCAAAGCCCATGTAATTAGAGAAGTGGATGAACTGGTTCATTCTGCTGCCTGCTTTAAAGGTCTCTCCTGAACAAAAAGTATACGAACTGCCTCGGCCCTTTTCGTTTGAAGACGATATATGAAAATGAAGGGGTCAGGGAATACTTATCGTGCAATCATCGATTAGTGTTGGAATGGTCCCCTGTGTAGTGATGCAGTTGTACCAACGATACAGACCGAGGAAGGTAGTACCATAATTGACTCCAAACAACCATTTCTACGTTTCGGTCATCATAATTTTAATTTATATTTTTATTTACTTTTTAAATAAGTAAAGGCTAAGGTCAACGGCTGCTGCCTCAGACCACCTTCTCGTCGAAGGAACTCACCTCAGACTCGCTGGTTTCATACTCCAGCTGCTTCTCAAAGGTGCTCTTCTCGTCGCTAGAGGAGTCATACTCACTGAGAGTCTCAAAAACAAAAGAAGTCCTTCTCAGGAAACCCAAACTTCTGTGAACCTCAACATGAGCGGTCGAGGTGGTTGCCTTGGACTTCAAGAAAGCTTTAGGCAAAAAGCTGTCGCCAGATTTCCAGAGGGTTGAAATTCCACTTAAGTCAACAGAGGCAAACGCCTTGGAACCTTCGCTCAAAAGACCCTGCCAGAAGAAAAACTGCTTGGGAAAGTAGATCTCGTCTTCTTCTGTTCTGGTGATGTTCTTCCAAAAGAAGAAGTCGTTGGGGAGGAAGGGTTCGGGGTGATCCTTCAATGCATCTTGGAAGAAGAAAAAGTCCTTGGGGAAGAAGGTTTTGTTGGTTTTGGGTGTGGAGGTCCAGGTTCTGAAGAAGAATGGGAAGTCACCGGGGAGGAAAGCTTCAGAATTTGACATTTCAATGGGAAAGTCAGGCTTGGTCCAGATGGTGAAGAAATGTTTGAAGTCTCCAGGAAGGAACGACTCTGCTTGGGTTTCCCAGACATTGAAGCATTCTGCAAAGTCGCCTTGTAGGAATGGAGCATTGTTGAGGCCGACTGATTCGTAGTTGAAGATTTGGGAACTAGCTTCAATGGTCTCAGTAGTCCAAGATTCATAGAAATCTCCAAAATCGCCAGGAAGATAAACGTCGTAGGGGACTTCCAAAACATCATTCTTCACAATCTGGCGGTAGAAGTAGAAACATCCAGGGAAGTAGGAACGACGCTTCGTCTTGACCTTTTCGTAGTTGAAAGAGTCTCCAGGCAAGAAGGTCTGTGGAGTCTCTTTTGCGGATCTTCTGAAATAGGGAAATGCTTCAGGAAGGTAGTTCTCCTGTGGCTTTTCGTTGAGCATGGCTCTGAAGAAATGGAAGTCACCAGGAAGGTAGGATTCAGAGGGAGGAGTGTTCAAGAGACACTGGGTGTAGCGGCAGATGCCACTAAAGCTTTGGTAATTTTCGAGGAAGTAGTTTTTGAAAAACGTGCTGCTCTTGATGAGCTTCTTTGTGCTCTCAACGAGCTTGTGTGGGTAGGAAGCTGAAAACATTGTGGTTGAATTGCAGGCAGTAGATATTTGTGGTGGATAGTGGTGATGAAGAGAAAACGGAGGAAGGCAAAATCGACGTATTCTTATACCCTTGAAGGTGTTTGTTTAGTGCCTGGCATGTTGAAGCGTCATGGATGCTGCCCTAGGTGGTCATCGTTGAAGGGGAGATATGTTGAAATAGGAAGGGGGAGACTAGAAAACTGAAGATTGTGATGATCGACTCTGAGGTAGTCACGGAATTATCTGTCGTTTGGGAATTAGGATCATTCATGGCAAGTGTAGTGGAGTTCTCGAGGTAAGTCCAGGGAGGTCTACCGCCAAAAGAAAGTCAAAAAGAGGAACTCTAGTTGTTCCAGTCATCGATTGATTAAAGACTAAAAGAACTTTCTGGGGTAGGAATAATACTGGAGCACGTAGAATACCAACAAAGGGACCTGTAGGCTTTTACATCTAGTTGAGCGAGAGCAGCACGGTAGCTTGCTGCATTGACCCAAGAACGGTTCTCAACAAGAATGTATAAGGTAAAAAAATTTAAATGACATCGTTGAACTTGATTGAATTCATTATTACCAAAACAATTGCATTGGACGGCAAAGTCTCTTGTCTCACGCTTCAACAAATCTGTAAACTCCGCTTGTATTCCCATCAAGCAAGCATTCAAACCACTGTAAATAAAGAACCGTAGTGATATCAATTGAAATGCTAAAAAAATTGCCAGCTTCACGGCCGGAACCAAAGCAGAATAGGCATCAATAGCATCTCTCTCCCTACCTCTCATTGAGACCAGCCAACTCCCAAACCATGTTCCTACAAAGTACTCACGGAATAGTCAATTTAAGAGAGCTCCATAAATTCATAAATATGTGTCTACCACACCTCTTGTCCATACCTCTATGTCATCACCCTACCTCCCAACTAAAGCCCAGCCCACCACCCCATTCCCCCAACCACCCCAAAACCCCCAGAAACCAAACCACAACCAAACCACCAATTCCAAAACCACCATCAATTCATAAACCACAAAAATTCCTATTCCCTCTGTCAACTTCCCTCGCCCCCACATTCACCGTTTTGCAACCGGGAGTGCAGAACAACACCCTGACGCGAACTACCACCCAGCATCACCACTTCTTCTCATGATCATCGCCAGCATACGGCGGATTTTCGCCTCGTTCCGAACCGAAGAAGAAGAAAGATCGTACTCGAGATCGGCGTTTTTCAATCTCCTCGGTTTCCTCGGTCTGTGTGTGATGTTTTCCTTTGTAGCCCAGAAGCTCCTGAAGCAGGCCTAGTCAACCAGACACATCAAAGCAAATCAAAACAAAACAAAAAGAAGTAATTCCTTTGGAAAACGCAATGCCTACAACAGATTTCATCATCTACATTAGCATATGTACAGTTCGTCCTAATATACAAGTGGCCTGTGAAGGGTTTTGTCTGTAGTTAGTCTCTCAACAAGACCTCCTTGGCCATCTCATAGGCGGTCCAGGAGATGGCGGTGGCCGGCACGTTGAAGATGATCCTGGGCTTGATGCCACGGGCAAAAGCGCCCATGCCGCCCTGCTTCAACAAGGCCTTGGAGGCCGAGACAAAGCCGTTGATGGAACGCAACAGCTCGTTCTGCGACACGCCTCGGGTCTGCAACGCCGTCTTGATACAGTCCAACGGGTTGGTCAAGGCGGCGGCGATACCTCCGGCAATACCGCCCGAGATGCAGTGGTAGTATGGGTTGTACTTGTTGTCTGGGTTCAACAACTGCGACAGGTACTCGTAGAAGCCAAAGTTCAAGGCGGCAAACGGGATGTTGGTGAAGAGCGTGGTGGGGTATGAGATGAAGAACGCCGACAAGCCTTCCTGGCGGTAGATCTGGGCGGCTGTTTTCATTAGTTTGGCGGATTGGGACTGCGACGCTGCCGTGGTGGAGGTACCCAACTGCATTCTCTGCTTCAACACGTCAAACGGCGTCATCAAGGCGTCCGAGGCCACGGTGGCGGCTATACCGGCGCCCGACGCAATCAATGGGTGGGACTCGTCGGTGACGATTTTGGTGGATTTCTGGTCGGTCAAGCGGTTCACCAACATGGTCTTGGTGGCCTCGAAAACAGAGAAATACACAGCGTGGGCCGGACCGGCGCCCAAAACAACCGAAGAAACTCCTCGCCACAAGGCGTAGGCACCTTCCAGGCTGGAGATCTTGGAGATGGAACCAATGACAGACTTGCTCAAGGGCTGGCCCAGCGCAATCATCTGCATTCTCGTTTTGATCAGGTCGATCGGGAACATGACGGTGTGCTCCATGATGCCGGCAAACGCTCCGGCCAGAAGGTGGGCTGCTATGCTGGCGTCATCTGGCAAGGCCTCGTAGTCGATTTCGATGGGCTCGGCGCTGAGCATGTGGGGGTGTTCGGCCATGGCAGAAAGAGGACCTTCTTATTGGGGAGATTTGGGGAAAGTGGGCTAGGCAGAGCGTGGCAGGGCCTGGTTCAGCGAACTGGTTGTGGATGAGTAGTTGGAGGTGAGTCGGGCCCGAGAAATTTTCAGGCCCGAACGCAGGCAGGATGGGGTAGAAGGGTGATAAGATGGAGTAGATATCCAGAAGGGGCAGAAAGGGGACAACAGAGGAGGGTATTTTGATAAAAGTTTTCAGAGAATTAAATTCAAATTCATTGGTTTGGTTGTTTTGTCGTCGCTACATGGGGTTCCTTGGGAATCGTGGGGTTGGTGACTGCTGACTGGGCTCCAGAGCAGGCGGAATGGGGTCGGAAAAATAGGCCTGGGGGTGTGAATGGCGGCGGTTTCGGGGCCACAGAAGGCGGTTTTGGCGGGCGGATGGCGCCGTTTCTACGGTTTTTCCGCTGTACCACGGAACCCAGGTGGTTGCTTTGGTCCGCGGTTTGCAGCCAAGAAAGGCGGTGACGAGGAGGCCCATTTTTTGGTGTTTTTTACGAAGAAAAAAAAGAAGAAAACGGCCGACTTGTGATTTTTGGCTTGCAGAGGTGAAGAAATTTTGGTTTGCTGGTGTGAATGGCCTCGTGGGGAACCCATAGTTTGGTGGTTTGGTCGCTGTTTGTCGAGTTCTCAGTCGCTGCTTGCTGGTGAGTAATGCCGCCTGGGCTGGCTGGCAGCATGCCGCAGATGACTGACCGTTAACCGGGGGTTCCAAAAACCCAAAACCCACAAACGCTTCGAATTACCTTAAATTTCAAAATCAAAAAATCCAAAAAAATCAAATTCTTCAAAACCGCTGCAAACGTCTCACCTCCGTTTCGTCCGAACCCGGAGAAGCTGCGCTGGTTCGCAGCCGTGATGCTCACATGGCACGCAGGCCGCTAAAGGGCCAGGATATTCAGCCGTGCTGCCGGCGAAACGGCGGCTATCGGGGCCCAATGGGCTGCTGTTTGCGAGGAATGTGTGCAAATGGCATGCTGCCAGCGGCGGAGCGAAAATGGACGTGGTGGGGCGGGCCCGAGGTTGTTTCTGGTGAGCATGAGGTTTGAGCACATGAGAGTGGACCGTGAGGCGTGGAGGCGATCGACAGATAAGGTTTGGGAGGGGATTCTATTTTTTTTTCGTCATTTATGAGATTATATATTTACGGGATTTTAGGTTCTGGCGATGCTGGGGTTAGAGTTTCGGTGACGTCACCGGAGCTAGTGCCCTCCATGGATGGTGTCTCAAAGCTGAGATGGTGTAGTGATACTACGCTCTTTCTCTAACAAGCAGGTTGACCAATCTACAGAAAACAACTTCTCTTTTGAAATCGACTGAAATCGACTAAAGTCAACTTGAAATGTATAAATTCAGGGGGCTCCCGCCATGGCGTCAAACTGGCTCACGATGTTCCGGATCCGTTGACCTGGGATGTTCTTCTTGTAAGCCGTAGTCGGACGTGAAGATGTCGTGAGTGAATGTGCCGTGGGTGGGCGAGACAGAATGGAAGTTGTGGGTCTTTTTGATGCTTCTGTGGATTGGAGGATTGGAGCTTCGTTGAGGTGGATCGAGAGAGGTGCTTCTGACTCTTCACAAGAGGGTTTTGGGGCCGAGGAGGTGGGAGCGTTTGAAGGAGAAATTGGGGATGTTTTGTTTTCAAGGCTTCTGGAGCTTCTGAGGCTTCTGGGGCTACTGGGGTGAACTGTGTGATCGTTGATGTCAGAGGGACTGGCATTGAGTGAGCCACTTTCAGGCTGTGAAGGTTTCAAAGATTCCAGATGTTGTTTTGAAGACAGCGCCAGTGGTCGTTTTTCCAAGATCGAGTAGTCCTTGAGATTTCCTTCAGAAGGACCCTCAATTGGATCGTCAACATCGGATGGTCTCTCGGTTGGAACATCAACATCAGATGGTGATACAGATGGTGGTTTCTCGATATTGCTAGCGGCACAGTCCAAGCCTCTCTGATCAGATTCCATCAAATCGTTCAATTGAGGTTTAGAACCGTCTGAAGTTGCGCTAAAGCCCTTGGGATCACCACAATCCTTGACATCATCATTCGCTTCCTCAATACTATGATTCAGAGAACAAATGTTGATGCCATAGCACGGATCAAGACGGTAGATCGATGGCTCCTTCCACGGATTACCATCGCCTGTCTCTTCATTCGATCCTTCATTCGACTCAGCTCTATCCGTTTCTGTCCCTGCCTCTCTAATCTCGCTTTCCCGAAACAGACACAAATCAAGAGTCTCCTCTTCAACACCATCCTCCTCCAAAGTATATCCAACAGTTTGCTCTCCATAAAACTCCCCCAATTCAAGCCTCCGCTCTCTGTACTCATCAACGGCCTTCTTTCCCTCAAGCATGCATTCCCAGAGAATCTCCCCAAGAAGGCTGTCATCAAGACAAACACAAAGTGCCAGATACTCCCACCGAGGAGTAAGATTGAAGAATTCTGCTTTTTTAAGGCAAAGCTCTTCCACTAGCTTGTATGCTGCCAGCTCGTACTGGCTTTGGGAATCATCAGCATGGTAGCTCAATAAGGCTGTGAAGACGTTACTCAATGTGGGAAGAACAAGCTGGAGTATCTCGTCTTTTAGGCATACTGATGAGCTCTGGTCGACCGTGACAATCGAGCTCTTTTGGGAAAATGTATCCAGTGTTCCTTCCTCCTCAATTGAGCTATCTTGAGGTGGTTGCTTCTCAAGAACACTGGAAAACCCATACTTCCGGCTCAGTCGTTTTTCAAATAACGAGGACCTTCTGAATTTGCTCTTCACTCGTAGAACCACTCGACGAAACTGTGAGACGAAATTGACTCCCACAAACAGAAATGAGGTGGAACTTCGAGAGGTGTACACTGGAGGCAGACGAATTTGCCTGTTGTCAAGATGTTCAAGCTCTGGTACGGCCAAAACCCGTTTGACTCTGTTTTCTGATATATTTTCAACCGGATTTTTGCAAGAGCATGGTGTAGAGGCTGGCTCGTATTCAGCTTCTGAAGGGTCTCTGAACCTCAGTGTGTGGACTCGACAAGGCACCACTTGAACGTGGATTGCTTTCCCAGGTTCAGATGACAATGCCTGCTGGCCATTGATATTCAATCCAGCCTGATGGTACCTTAAGGTTTCAGAAATGTTCGGATCATCCCCTCCAACTGACTTCACTTCCTGTTTTGCAGCCATTTCTGGGGTGCCCTTATATTCTGAAGAACCACCTCCAGGATCTGATACATAGGAAACAGAACGACACGAAGACCACGAAATGTACCGGGGTCTGTCCCTGTATTTGTAGGAACACTCAGCTGGGTTATTTAGCTCAACTCTCTGAAAATTGATATCAACGCTTTGACATGGTTCACCTTCCATTTCTTCAAGATCGTCCTGATCCTCCAATGGGTACATTTCTTGTCTTTTTGAATAGACTTGGTAATTATTTTCGTCCTGAACCTTTTGTCTCCCATCAATGGCCTTCAAAACTCGCTTTTCAACGAGAGCCTTGGTCTCCAACTCAATGCACCTTGAAGCCATTTTGGACAACTCTGACCCGTGAAGCCGAGAAACACTAAAGCTGTAAAGCTCCGGATGCTTAAGGAATCCTAAGTATCTTTCACCACACGGATCCATGGAAAATGGTGTTTGTGAAAGTTCCACATCTCTGCGCAGTTACCCTACAAGCCAACCCCTACAACACACCTAATGCAATCATAATTCTAGACAACCGTCTTCTATAAATATGCAACACAAAAGACTCAAACCCACGCAGAGTGCTTGAACTCGTGGCCCTTCTGCTCAGGCACAATCGTCAAAAGCTCGCCTGTTCTGATGTGGTGCTCCACATTGTCTACAGTGAAGTCTTCCATGTTCTTGAGCGCCTGCGTCGTCCAGGTGCCCATGTGTGGCAAGGAGACAACGTTGGGCAATTCGTACAACTCCTTAGGAACCTCTGGCTCGTGTTCGAAAACATCAGCACCAAAAGCACCAACCTTACCCAGCTGCAACTCCTTGATGAGCTCCTGCTCGTCAATTACAGCGCCTCTAGCGGTGTTGATGATAATCACGCCGTCCTTCATCTTGGAGATGGCCTCTTTGTTGATCAAATGACGGGTCTTGGGGTTCAAGGGCACAGACACCACCAACACATCGCTCTGGGCCAACAATTCGTCGAATCCCACGTACTCGGCATCCTTTTCCAAGTCAGCATCAAGTCTGGAACGATTGTAGTACAAGATCTTCTCAAACCCAAATGGCTGCAAACGGTCTCTGATAGCACGGCCGATTCCGCCCATGCCCAAAATACCCACAGTCTGTCCCTCGGGGTCCTTGCCCAATTTGACGCCCCTGCCAATGTCTGGGTTGGTCCAGTTACCCTGAACCAAGGAGTTGTGGCCAATTTGGTACTTTCTCATTGTAGCAAGAGTCAAGTACACCGCTGTAAGCGCCGTAGGAGCCTCCACAGGAGTGGTGACGTTGGAAAGCTGAATGTTTCTGTCTGTCAAAGGCTGGGGATCAATCTGGTCGTAACCAGCGCCATTATGGGAAACAGCCACAACAGAGTCAGGCAAGGCGCTGATGATTTCAGAGTCAAAACGCCCCGTTTGCTCCACACTGGGGAAAGTACGAACCACGTGAGTCACGTTGTTGTGCTTTGTCTTGAGCTCATTCAAGAACTCTTCTCTGTTCTTGGCTTCACTGTCCACCACAGTAGCGATCTCTTTCAACTTGTCCCATTTTTCATTGGAAAAGGGCCACTTTCCGAGTCTAAGCACAATGGGTTTTTCGGCAGTCATTGATAAAAATCTATGGGCGTGTCTTGTAAGGGTGTTTTTCATCCAGAAAGCGGAATCCGGCGGAACTCAATGGCTTTTTATACTGAGCTCTGCTCGCGGGGTTTTGGGATGTGTATTCCCCCAAACTTGGTGTATGCACCACACACTTAACTACGAGGATGCCAGAGATAAGCGGAAGCTCCCCCACGTTTTGGCCAGAGTACCCCCACGCTTTTTGGTAATATTTGGGGTACCAAAGTGGAGGATCTGTGGAGGGCCACTCAGTATTTTCCACGGTCAGAGGGTTTATTCTAGACTATTTTGCGTCACCTTAGAAGATGAGGTGCGAGCCGCGGTATGGGAAGGTGTCGCTGATTTTGGAAGCGCCCTCGGCAGAAACCTGGCTTCTCTCCGGGAAGTTCTCAAGACTCTTAGCGTAGGTGGCGACAGAGTGGGCAATCAACTTGGTGTTAACCAACCAGGCTTCGTAGTCGGGGTTAGACAAGTCGTCGCACAACTGGTGGTAGCATGGGTCAAACCACTTGCCAGCCTCACCGCCAAACTGCTCCTGGCCCTTCTTGGTCTTGACCTTCTCGGCACCAGTAGCAATACCACCAGCAGGAATGCCAGCGTCAATGAAACCAACGTAGTCGCTTCTGCCGTCGAATGGAATCAAGGTGTAGTTCAAGCCCTGCTCCTTGTACCAGTCAATGTAGAGGTCCTTCAAGTCACCAGAACCGTTGGGGTGGTCCTTGTTGTTGGCATCGTAAACCTCGTACTCGTAGTTTGGAGAGGCCATCATGTCGTAGTCCATAAACAATCTGATCTTCTGGTTCTCCTCAGGCGAAAGGGCCTGAGCGTAAGCATAAGAACCCAAGAGACCCTCTTCCTCAGCAGCCCACCAAGCGAAACGAACGGCATTGTTGACCTTGTACTTGGTCAATTGCTTGGCCACCTCGAGCAAGGAAATAGTACCAGAGCCATCGTCGTTGATACCTGGACCGGCAGCAACAGAGTCAGAGTGAGCACCCAAAGAAACAACGTTCTCGTGGTCACCCTTGATGGTCTCGGCAACGACATTGAGGGTCTTGATCTTCTTCACGTAAGAGTCGACGAAAAGAGTAGTCTCGAACTTGTGCTTAGGGTTCTTCTTCAACTTGTCAATGAACTCCTGAGCATCCTTTTTGGAGATGGACACAGTTGGCACCTCGTCGCCAGTTGGCTCGCCCAAAGTGCCCTGCAAAGGAGCCTCCTTGTCGAAGATGATAAGACCAGCAGCACCAGCCTTGCCAGCGTTGATGGACTTGTTACCAAAGGCACACTCGCCTCTCTCCACCAAGACAATGTTGTCCTTGGTCAACTTCTTGGGGAAGTCAGAGACGTCACAGCCGTAGTTCTCGGCCAAAACCAAGTTGGCGTTGATAGGCTTCTTGTCTGGGGTTGGAGGGGTGAGCTGGAGAGCCAGCAAGGACTTGGGCTTCGCACCGTCAATCAAAAGGGAAACAGAGTTGACACGACCGTCAATGGCCTCGAACTTCTGCACATCAATAGTGTAGTAGTCGCCCAACTTGCCCAACTCGTGCTTGATGTAAGCAATGGTGGCCCAGTGACCTGGAGAGCCAATCACACGAGTAGGATGGCCGTATTTCTTCTCCGATTTCTGAGCAATTGAGTACAACTTCTCAGCTCTTTCCTTCAAAGCCTCTGTGGAGATAGCAGCCTGCAACTTCTCGGTGTCAACCTCAGGCTTGCCCCATGGTGGCCATGGGAACTTCCAAGAAGAGGTCAAAGGCATCTGGAGGTCAACGTCTCCAATGATGACATCATTGAAAAGATCAATGGGGGAGGCCGCAGCCGTGCCCAAAATAGCGAGCGAAGTGGCAATTGAGAGCTTCATTGAGTGAAACGGTCTTGCCAATGGATAAAGAAAAGAAGTATGCCTGCCTCTGTCGGCAGTCCGTTCGTATGGCAAGAGACACCCGTGCACCATAGCATACGGCACCTGATAATGCGGTGCCACGCGGCTTAACAAGGCCAGAATTTCGCAGCCATCATACTTATGCTCTTCTCTTCTTCCGCTGTTGTTTCCCTTGCTGGAAACCGTTTCCGGAAAATTTGAAACCACCATTACCGAAATTGAAACCAGAGCCACCAAAGTTGCCAAAATCGAATTTGATATTTGGACCGCCCTGGAAGTTGAATCCACGATTGCCGCCGCGTGTAGGACCTTGAGAATGGCCCAGACGTCCTCGGTCATATGCTTCTTTCGACTCCTTGTCCGACAAGACCTCGTAGGCCTCGTTGATCTCCTGCATCTTTTGTTCCACTCCCTTTTCATCTAGATCGCCGCCCTTGTATTTGTCTGGGTGGTACTTCAATGTCTGTGTTCTGTAGGCCTTCTTGATCGTCTTCTCGTCAGCGTCAGGCAGAATATCAAGCACCTTGTAGAAGTCCTTTGAAGGGTCACTTTGCATCTGCTGCTGCTGTTGTTGCTGTTGCTGCTGGCGGTACCACTGCTGCTGTTGTCTTTGCTGGTCTTGTTGGAACTTAGCCTGCTGTTGCTGCCTTTGCTTCTGCTGGATCTTCTCAATCACGTTCCACCTTTTCTTGAAAGCCTCCGTCTTGCCAACGTGTTTGCTGAACTGGGAAAGAAGCTTCTGAGCCTCGGCATAGTTCTTCTTCTTGAGCTCTTCATCAATACGGGCTGCATGCTTAGGAAAGAAAGGCTGACCGTCTTCAACGGCGCCGTCACAGTAAACTTTGCAATCAGCAGACTTCTCAGAGTAGAGAGCAGCTTCGCAACGGAGACGAGTCAAGTCTCTATAAAATTTGAGGTGCTGGAACAACTTCTCGTTACCAAGCTCCTTGTCAGCAAAAGCGTTGGCCATCCATAAAAGATAGTCAAAGTTGTTCTTCACCGACGAAGGCACGTTCTTGAGGTCACGCTTGGGTGCCTTGATAGGGTCCTTGTTCAAGAAAGTATGGATCTGGTTCCAGTCGAACAGGAACGAGCCGTACTTCTCGTCACTAAGGTCGCTTGCTTCGTCCGAAACGGGGTATATATAGCCATCGAGGATCGAGTAGTCCTCAAGCAGATTTAAATTGGTTGCAAGACGAGCAAACATCTTGGAGAGCGAACCGCATTGCTTGTTCTCGTTGTCGATTCTCAAACAACTCTTGACGGCGTTCCATGCATCTTGGTAGTTCGATTGCGTGAAGAAGAGGTACTCGGCGAATTCAGTGTACCTGCCCAAGTCCTTCTGTGGAGCTTTCTTGAGCAAAGCAGAGTAATCCGCAATCATGCCCACCAATGTATCTTCAGAAAGGGCCCGATCTTTGCCCAAGGTCTCGGCAGACTTCTTTTTGCTGCAGGCCAAATGAAGCTCGAGGATGGCGATGTTTTCAGGCGTGAGAGGTCGAAGCGTCGTTTCAACAGCCCTTAGACACTCATCGTAATCGTACTTCAGTTTGCCCTCGAGAACGCCCTTGAACTTGTCAAACGTCTTCTCCCACGTCTCCATCTGTCCGGCCAACTCCTTGTCGGCGTTTTGATCTATGACCCGCCTGACAGCGGCAAAATCCCCCCGCTTCACCATTATCTCCTTGTATACGTTTCTTGCAGGCTTTGAGTCTGGATCCAAGGCAAAGACAGCCTCGAGGTCCTCGATGGCAGAACTCATTTTGTTCAAGCTCATCTCCACAAGAGCCCTGTTGTAAAGAGCCGTTGCTAGCGTTTTTTGGTCAGACAGACCCTGGAGGTCCAGAATCAACTTGTCAAATTCATCTAGAACCTGAACCGTAGGACCCACAGTTCTTAGAAGACTTTGGGCTTCTCGAATTCTTGATGTAAAGTCCTCGGCGAAAACCGAGACTAGTAGCAGTACCAATAAGGTGACTAGCAAGATTCTAGACATATTGTAAATAAATAAGGAGTAGTAGTTGTGGTTATGGGTGCGACTATGCAAAGCTAGACACGTTAACGTTTTTCGCACCCATTTCCTACACCATCTACACGGTAGTTTTTCCATTAGATCATTTCTATTATGCCATGGCAGCTAAGCCTACTTGAAGAGCTTGGCCAAGGAAACGGCGCCTTCGTCGTTTCTCGACATCACCTTCGCCACCGCCAACTCAAAGTCCTCTTGCGTCACGTGGATTCTTCTTTCTCTCAAGGCGTACATGCCTGCCTCTGTACAGACACCTTTAACGTCAGCACCGGAGCAGCCGCCCATCTTCTCGGCGATTTTCCTCAAGTTGATGCCTCTGGTCAAGTTCATCGACCTGGAGTGAATCTTCAAGATATCCGTTCTCGCCGTCACCGTAGGAGCAGGGAATTCAATCTTTCTGTCGATTCTACCGGGTCTCAACAAGGCAGGGTCCAAGATATCCAATCTGTTGGTGGCCATAATGATCTTGATATCCTTGGAGCTCTCGAAACCATCCAACTGGTTAAGCAACTCCAACATGGTTCTCTGCACCTCGGAGTCTCCTCCAGAGGAGCCCTCCACTCTTGATGAACCAATGGAATCGATTTCGTCCATGAAAATGATCGATGGAGCGTGTTCTCTGGCCATGACGAAAAGCTCACGCACCATTCTTGAACCTTCACCAATGTACTTCTGCACCAATTCGGATCCCGACACTCTGATGAACCTACAGTCTGTGTGGTGAGCCACCGATCTGGCCAAAAGCGTCTTACCGGTACCAGGTGGTCCGTACAAGATGACACCCTTGGGCTGCTCGATACCCAAACTCTCGAAAAGCTCTGGATGCTTCACAGGCAACTCAATCACCTCCTTGATCTCTTTGATTTGCTTGTCCAAACCACCCACCATGTCGTACGTGGAGTCTGGCACTTTTTCAAGCATCATCAACGACACCAATGGATCGACCTTGTTGGGCAAGATCTTGTGCAAATCGTATGAATCAGCTTTGAGGCACACTCTCAATGAAGGTGTCAATTTCTTGATATCGATGTCTTTGGTGACATTGACAATGTACTTGCCTTCAGGGTGAATCTTGACAAGCACCTTTTTCAAGCCCATCACCTTGACGACTTCACCGACATACGAGCCTGGTTCTTGAAGAAGCCTCAACTCGTCTTTCAACTGACGTACTTTACTGTTGAGCTTGTTTCTCTGAGCTTCCAATCTTCGTAAGTTTTGCGTTGTATTTTGGATTTTGATTTCTGTGTCCTGTATCTGCTGCTCGAAGTAAGGCTTGATGCCTCCTTCGTGGACGTAAGGAGTATCGACTGTGGTCATATTGTTGGGGGTTTGAATGGGCTTACTGAGGTTTGCCTTCTACGCTCACTTCCACACGACCAGTGGTGTAGTGCGTACTGCAGGTAAGACCACCTTCGACCAAAGCCCAAGTCGACAATTGGCAAGATGGAGAGTGGTTTGGATGGTGTTGGAGATGCAGGGGATGAGTTTAGAGCGGTATGGGGTTGATTGGCGGTCAGGGGGTTGACGGGACGCTGGATTTGCTGAAGTTGAAAATGTCACGTGATCTCAGTTTGATCGAAGGCATTCAGCAAGAGGTGAAGAGAGATTAGCTATTGAAGGAGGGTTTATTGTAGTAGTTGTGTTGAAGTTTACAGATTCTGAAAAGAACGTGTAAAATGCTCTGGTACGTCGAGTTTTGTGGCTCACTGGATGGAAACTGGTTGCTGCGCCCTGTCAGACAACAGATTACCAAAAAGAGAGGAAGAACTGGCAGTTTCAAGTAGTCCATAATAGTAGTCGTCTTAAGTAGTCAATTTTGAACCTCTTGCGTTGAATGCACTTCTAAGGTGTAGTTTGAAGAAAATCAGATAGTTTCACTTTTCGCAGCCATTAGCTAGTCGGCTGGAAAAGTGCCGAAATAGAATAAACTTTAGGTAAACTTTAACCTCTGAAAGCCATAAACTCGAGCTCCTTTTCATCACCCAATTCCGCCCACACCCAATTTTCAAGCTTATCGGAGGAATTGTAGCCATTGCTCTAAACCAAAACCTCTCCAAACCTCTCTATACACATCCTACCAGAACCAGTCTTCAAAACAACCACTAAACAAACTCAAAATACACTTCACAACCTCATAAATTTCACAACCTCATAAACTTCACAGACAATCTCCATAAGTCCACTCCCGGCCCTCCCTATCGTCCAATCGCTCACTTACCATCCTCTCCCACTATCGACCAATCAGACACCGCCTTTTCTCCAAACCCCCATTTCACGCAAATTCCACAATTCTCCAAAACCAACCACTTTTTCTTTCCAAAATCACACCTTTTCCCGCTCTACAGCCGGTTGCCAAGAGTTTGTCGGTTTGTGCTCGGTGCCTGGATTAATGCATAGGACCAAAAAGGATCGCGAAGTAGGCCCTTTCAGAAACGTCCATGATTACGAAAAGGTTGGTGGTTTTGGCGTTGATCGCCGTGGCATCAGCTAACCAGCAATACTGCAAATGTGTTTGTTCCGGTAACACCGTGGTGGGCAAGATCGACAAGTGTGTGATGTGCAACAGCAGCTGGTGCTTGGAGAAGAACGATAAGCTTTGCGAGGAGAAGGAGGAGGAGGAGAAGATTGTGATAAGTTGTTTTCAGATCGAGTCGACGAAGGAGAAGGTGATCATTGTGTTGTTTGTGCTTGGGGTACTCGGGTTGCTAGCAGCGGGCTGCTGGAGGTGATTGCCATGATGGAGAGTGATATGGTGAGAGGTGTGATTTAGGGGAGAGACGGCGTGTGGAGAGACAGCGTGGGGAGAGAAGAAAATGCAAGGAGACAGTGTTGTTAATTGGACGAGCTGGATTGAGTCTAGCTGTGGTTGTTGTCCATGCGTTCCACACTGATACAGCTGAGTGGGTTGGAGGAGATGCTAAGCAGGTGGCCTAGCAAGAAGAGATGATGCATTGTACCTATTCAAATTTTGCTGGCATTTCACGATCGAGGGCTGTTGGCACGAATGAAGTGATGCCCGTTGGAAGAGCTGTTGGTACTGTTTTGTTACTGAAATGCAGAAAGCGGGTTAGCCAGTTCCGATTTACAGATCAAAGGATTAGAAGGGTTGCTTGGAGGAGATGATTGTCAAAATAGAGCTCATCATGACTATCGACATTCACATTAATGGTGTTCAGCAGCGTTCAAGCAGTCTATCACTTTCAGACCGTCTTTAGCCAATTATAGTCTAGTACGGCACGGGGACGTTACTTAGAGATAGCTCTACTATCGACGCCTTCTACAAAACTCACAAGAAGCCTCTGATGGCGCCCAATGGCCGGCACCACCACTTCATGACATACAGCCAATCACAGGCACTGCTTTCACATCCATTAGGTTCGCTCCATATGTGTTAAAATGCTCAAAACTGCTTACTGACCTGCCAATGAAGTCAATTCCAAACGCCTGCTGTCATCCACCTCCAGCACACTTCGTACTTACTCATCCAGTCGGACCAGACCAATGCGGAGCAACCCAGACCAATTGGTGTATCCCGGCTTAACAACACAATTGGGTGGCGTGACTATGAAATACCCACCCAAATCCAGCAAATTTGCCAATTTCCAAGATCCCCCAAATTTTGGACTTTCCACTTGCCAATATGCTTCAGCCTGCCCTGAAGGCTTGCGGTTGCAAGTCTGAATCAGGTAACCGGTGCGACTCCGAAGCCTCACGAGCAGCCCTAGAGAAATAGACGAGGCAATCTAATTGCCCTGGGAAGGCATCCCCACGAATTCGAAGAAAATTCGACTTTAGCAGAAAAAATACTGAAAATTGCAGAAAAAAACACAAATTCATCCGGGGTACCACGGGCGGACCTGGCGGAGCAAGCCAATGGAGACGGTCCCTGGCGGTCGCAGCCCAGGAAAAACGCCAATTGGCAATTGCCGAGATGGCAGGCCAGTCACACCGGTGAATTTCGAAAAAACCGAACTTTCACGCCAAAAGTGACGCCAAAAAACACCCTCCCCCAAGCTGCCACCCCAAATCACTCCAGTTTCCGTATTTTTCACTTCCGCTGCTTCTGTGCCTGGCCTGCGGATGGCCTAATACAAGTGCAGTGCGAGAAAGGAAGGTCCACCGTACCGCCTGACGGCGCCACAAGACGATTTGCAAAAAATAAAAACCGTCACGCCTCCACATCCAACGTATATAGACCTACCCTCTAATTAAACTATCCCCATACGGCAGGCGAAACGCTCAAACGTCGGGTATTTGAACGCGCGAGAAAGCGCACACATTTTTTTTTTTTTTTTTTTTCAGCTTTTTTCTTCATCTTTTTTCTGGACTACCTTCTTTCTTCAAGAAGTTTTCAGAACAACACCACTTTTTCCCACCACCATGTCTGGCACCCCCGAGTCCCAGACTGAAATCCCGGCTTCCCAAAAGGGAAACGCCCCTGTGCCTCCTGCTGCCCAGGCACCTCCCCAGGCTGCTGCCTCGAATGCTCCTGGTGAAAACCAGCCTGTGGGTCAAAACCTCCCAACCCAAAACTTCCAGGGTGGCAAATACCCACAGCACTTTCAGGGGAAACCCCAGAACAGACTGCAGCAGGGCGGCTCCCAGGCCCACGGCTCCGCTCCCGGTACTCCACACCAGCACCACCAACAGCCCCACCAGCATCACCAGGGCCAGGGCCAAAGAGGGAACTACAACAACAGCAACAACAGCAACAAGAACTACTACAACAACAACAAAAGGAACTACAACGCCAAGGTTGGCGCGCAGAACCAGTACCAGTATCCTCCCAACTTCAACCCCAACATGTACAACTACTACCCAATGTACTTCCAGCAAGGGATGGTTCCAGGGGTGAATATGCCCAACTACTCCCCTCAGCTGCCGCTGCTCTCGCAGTCGCCCGTGCAATCTTATCCTCAGGGCGCCTCGCCTGCCGCCGCTGCCACCGCTGCTGGATCCACCAAGGTGAAAATCACAGACAAGGACGGAAAGCAGGTCAACTTGGAGGACAAGAAGAAGCTGTCTGCCAGCTCCTCTGCGCTGACCACGCCCGTGCCTTCGCAGGCCCAGATTGTGCCTCCAGCCAAGTCCCAGACGCCTGAATCCGAGGACCAGGCTGCTGCTGCCGCTGCTGCTGCCGCTAAGAAGAAGGAAGCCGCCGACGAGTTCCGCAGAAAGATTCTCGAGAAGGCCAAGGCCGCTAAGGAGAAGAAGGAGGCCGAGGCCCGTGCCGCCCAGGCTGCTGCTGAGCCCAAGGAGGAGGTGAAGGAGGAGCCCAAGAAGGCTGAACCTGTGACGGAGACCAAGCCTGAGCCAGTGGCTGAAACGAAGCCTGAGCCAGTGGCCGAAACCAAGCCAGAGCCAATTCCAGAATCCAAACCCGAGCCTGTCCCAGAGACCGTGAAGGAGGAGGTTGAGAAGGAAGAGGCTCCAGTGGCAGCTCCAGCTGAGACCAAGGAAGAACCAACGGAACCTGCCGAAAAGGCCGAGCCAACGGAAAAGGCTGTCCCTGTGGCTGCCCCAGAACAGTCGGAGGACATTGCCGAAAAGGACGAGGAGGAGGCCGAGGACGAGGAACAAGAGAAGGTGTTCGACCTCTCCGCCTTCTTCGACAAATTGGCCTCGTGCAGAGCCATCGAGGACCCCTTCACCTACCCATACCCATACCCCTTGACCGGCGTCGACGCCAGATGGAAGGCTGGCCAGAAGAAGTATAGATACGACCCGCAGTTCTTGTTCCAGTTCCGTGATACCGTGAACTACCCCATCGACGATGCATGGAAGGAGAAGCTCGAAGGTTTGGGCATTGTCCCCAACAAGAGATCCGGCCCTGGCGGTCCTCAGCGCATGAACTCCTCCAGATTCGGCTCTCAGGCTCCAGGCAGAATGGGCGGAAGCATGCAAAGACCCGGTTCTTTCGACGGAAGACAAAACTCCAGATCGGGCTCCAGAAGAAGAGGCGGCTCCAACGCCGGCAACCCAAGAGACCGTTCGTTGAGAAACAGAAACCAGTCCAGAAGAGGCCCCAGAGAGAGAGACGACGATGCTCCAGCCAAGCCCGCCGAGGACGTGAAGCCATTGGTTCCTTCTGCCAACAGATGGGTGCCTAGATCTAGACAAAAGACCACCGAGGTCAAGACTGCTCCTGACGGAACGGTGCTCCTTGAGAAGGAGGATGTGGAGAGAAAGGTCAAGTCTGCATTGAACAAGTTGACGTTGGAGATGTTCGAGCCTATCTCGGAGCAGATGTTGGACATTGCCAAGCAGTCCCGCCACGAGGAGGACGCTGCCACCATCAAGCAGGTGATTTCCTTGACGTTTGCCAAGGCCTGTGACGAGCCTTACTGGTCGAGCGTTTACGCCCAGTTCTGTGCTAAGATGGTGAAGGAGATCCCCGACGACATCAAGGACGTGAGCATTCTCACCAAGAGCGGCGAGCCTGCCATTGGTGGTGACTTGGCCAGAAGAATCCTTTTGGCTACCTGTCAGACCGAGTACGAAAAGGGCTGGGTCGACAAGCTCCCCACCAACCCAGACGGCTCTCCTTTGGAGCCCGAGATGATGTCGGACGAGTACTACGCCATGGCTGCCGCCAAGAGAAGAGGTCTTGGTTTGGTCAAGTTCATTGGTAACCTTTACATCTTGAACATGTTGAACGACCAGGTTATCTTGCACTGTTTGAGAGACCAGTCCAAGAACGTGACGGACCCATCGGAGGACTCGTTGGAGAACTTGGCCCAGTTGATCAAGACCGTGGGTCCTAGATTCGAGGCCTCGGAGAGAAACAAGGCCGCCTTGAACATGATCTTTGACAACATCCAGCTGATCTTGGACAACTGCAAGCTCTCGTCGAGAATCAAGTTTATGTTGATGGACTTGCAGGATTTGAAGAAGAGCAACTGGAAGTCGCTCAAGCAGGAGTCCGGCCCCAAGACCATCAAGGAGATTCACAACGAAGCCGAGTTGAAGAAGCTCGAGGAGAGCAAGGCCCAGGCCGAGAAGAGAAGAAACAAGGGCTACGGTGGAGGTGGCTACGGCGGTGGTGACTCTAGATCAAACTCCACCAGAGGCGGCGCCTCGTGGGGCAACAAGAAGGAGTCCAGAGCCCCCACCAAGGACTCTAGAGGCTTCCAGTCTGTTCCTCGTTCGCAGCTGAACAGACCCACGCCTGACCTGAGCTTCAGTGCTTCCCATACTTCTCCTAGAGAAAACTCAAAGAGAACCGACTCCATGGCCTCCAACATCTTCGCTGCTTTGGACGGCGACAACGACGACAACGAGTCCGAGGGCGCCGGCCACTAATCCTTGCATGTTTCCCCTGCATTTCCTTGCATCCCACTAGATTCATAGGTAATCTGTACTATAGCACCTTGTCGTGATAATGAATTGACACTGATATATACACAAAAAAAAAAAAAAAAAAATAAAAGTTTACGCTGTAGGTTCTTCTTTTCGGCGGTGGAAGTACTGGTGGAAGGCCGCCAGGAAACGGTGTTTGGATGGACTTTCCAAGCCGTCCATTTCCGAGGGCGCCGGCCCCTAATCCTTGCATGTTTCCCCTGCATTTCCTTGCATCCCACTAGATTAATAGGTAATCTGTACTATAGCACCTTGTCGTGATAATGAATTGACACTGATATATACACAAAAAAAAAAAAAAAAAAATAAAAGTTTACGCTGTAGGTTCTTCTTTTCGGCGGTGGAAGTACTGGTGGAAGGCCGCCAGGAAACGGTGTTTGGATGGACTCTCCAAGCCGTCCATTTCTGGTGCTTCTAAGGTCTTGAGAACCTCCTCCAGAGCATCTGCCACCAAGGCGGTGTATTTTCTGTGGACGTCGGAGTTTCCGTGATTCTGGCCCTGAACCTCCTCGATTACCTGAATCGAGAAGTTGCCCATCATGAGGAGCAAGTCGACGGAACACTCAGCGGTGGTTTCAAGAAAGCCACCAATAACGCTTATGGACTTGCGGACGTGCAAAAGCGCCAAACAAAAACCGAGAATGGCCGTTTTGAGAAACAGGAGAATAAGGTCGCCAACAATGATGCAAGGCACAAGAATGTAAAGGCCAAGGGTGTGGAATCGGGACATGGTGGTGGAACAAAAGTGGCTGCAAAACGGTTTCTGTGCGCACATAGTTATGGTGAGGATGTCTCAAGAAGAGTGCTTCCCTCGTTGCCTAGGGTGTAAAAGGCCTCTTCAAAGTCGTACACTATTTCTGCTGCATTTTCTGAAACGTCCGTTTTCTCCACAGCCGGCTCTTTTAGCAACTCTTCAACCATCGCATCGTCCTCTACCACCTTGAAAGTGGGCTCAGTAAGTTTAATGCCACCCCGAGCCACCTTGCCAAAAAAGTCCTTTAAATCCGAGAGTGTGTCTGAAAGAAGCTCTCCATCTTGTTTTGGAGCTATAGTCAATCGCTCGATGCAGTTGGTCAAGGCAACAGGCACATCAATGGTAGCTTTCTGGAGCGCCTTGTGAACAGCCATGATCTGCGGTAGAAGCAGCGACTGAACGCTAATATACGTGCAAGCGTACAAAAGGAGGTACTTTGTGATGACATGCAACAGTTCTCCCTTTGAAACGAGCTGTAACATTGTGTGTGCTGCTGCTCTGACAAAGTACTTTGTTCGTGATACTCTGTTGGTGAGGTACGGCTCCTCCTCGTCGTCCAGGTAAATGGGTCCCTTTTGGTCGCTTTCATCATCTGTAAATGCATCAGTGGGGTCTTCGTTGAGACAGCTTTCCAAATCAGACGCCATAGCCCTGGCTGCCTTGACGTTTATGGTGACCAAGAATTCGTCCAGTTTTTCGTGATATTGCACAAGCTGGGGCCGTTTTTCTGTATTTTCCGCCACACCAGGATCCCTCTGGTTCATAAAATTGTAGAGCTGCTGGATGAGCCGAATGCTCAGCCCATTATGGAGTCCTAAACGGACTTTGGTGGAGTTTCGAGCAGATTCCTCCACCTGACTCTTCGACAAAAACGAGTTTTCCGTCGACCGATGGCTGGATCCGAGAAGCTCCACAAAATTTATAGCCGTTCGGCCGTCGCCGTGAGCATACTTTGCAATCACCTCACTGGCACCGTTCTCAAACGTAATGGGTTGCAAGTTGAAAAGTACCCGCCGGCGGATATTTTCAAAAACAATTGCCTTCTCCACCACAAACCTCAATTCCTCATCGGTCAAATTTCGAAGTTCAAAGAGCTGGCACCTCGACAAAATGGCTCTTCTGATACGCTTACTAGGACTCACAGTGGTAGCAGCCAAAAACACGAAAGCGCCACTTTCCACAAAGGGAAGCAAGAAGTCCTGTTGCACAACAGTAAAACGGTGAATTTCGTCAATAAAAACCGCAACTCTCAACCTGTCCTGGCCTAGTCTCTGACGCATCAAGTTCTCTTTAGCCAAGGCTTGCAGGAGATCTCTGAGTTCGCTTACCGTGGCGTCTGTTGCTGAAAACTCCACAAATACATAGTTCGTTTCTTCCGCTAAAAGCTTAGCTAGCGTTGTTTTGCCCACTCCAGGTGGACCATAGAGGATCATCGATGGTAGATACCCCAAGGTGATGAAGTTGGTGATGGCTCCATTGGAGCTGTTGAGGAGATGTTTTTGACCAATGACGTTTTTCAAGGAAGTAGGTCGGATTACTTCAGAAAGTGGCCGTCGTAGAGCCTCTTTGACGGCATTTTTGTCAGATTCCATAAAGAGTTGAAGATCAACAGATGCTACTACTTAGCGCGTTGCCTGTATGGATCATATGGGTGCTATCTACAACCAGTGTAATGTGTATCCTAGTAATTTTACATAGATCCCTAGCAATGAATGGCTGTCTTACTGGAATTGCCAGTCAGCGTAGCCACTATGGATTGTTATTGTACATAGAGCTTCAGTTCCCTCGGCCATCCGACATCATGGGACTCTGCAAGGAGGACAGGAAGCGTCTTTTCTTGAGCATCTGCTTCGGGTCCTCTTGCGTCACCGTGCGTGGAGACGGACTGGAAACAGAGCCGTTGGTGCCGCCCGCCACAGAGCCCATTCTCAGTAGACCGGCTTGATTCGAGGTAAATTCTTCGAGGGCCTTGAGCGGGGAGGCAATGTTGTTGCTCGACAGATACGCCATGAGCGGGCTGAGGATCGACATCATGTCGCCCGTCTGTAGCGTCCTCATGGCCCGGTCATGTAGACCGCAATTGCCTAGTGTCTGGGACGCCTGAAATTATCGGCGAGACTGCTGATGATATCCTTCATGCCCATTTTTGAAGTATTATTATTGTTGCTGAAATTTTGCCAGAGGTGCTCCAACGAAGCTGTGCCAATGGAGCTGCGGTAGTCGAGCATCCGACAGTCGACCCAGTCGATCTTAAACTCTCTATTCAAAAGCACGCGGCAGAATCCGCTGGCGGTGCCTAGAGAGCCGTCCAGATAATTGTAATTCACGGTGACCTTGGAGCCAATGAAAATCAGGCCGTTGTTCATGACTTGGAATTTTGTGCCCGAAAGGAAAAGCTGAAGCGATGCCAACGCTTGCGATGCAACGTTTGAAAGAAAGAAGCGAGGGGCGCTTGTCACGTCAAGCTCAAATGTTCTTGGGCCTCCTGAATTGGACTCAAATGAGACGCCGTCATTACCTTGTTTACGCGCCGGCGTGTTCGTACTAAACCGAATGGTACCATTCGACACAAAATATGCCAGGACAAGTCTTGTCCAAAACTCAATTGTTCGCAAGCTCTCCATCGGTTCGTTCAGCACGAGTTCAATCAAGTCAATTAAACGCACCACGGCGGCATTGCCCAAGTTACGACGGAAGATCTTAGCGTGCACCTCATTTTGCGCAGCCTGAGTAGCTGTCATCTTCTGCATGGCTTGTCCAGCCGGTAGACCCTGGGCGGATCTTCCTTGATTTTGTTGGTTTTGTGCACCCTGGCTCGGTGCTCCGGCCAGACCCTGTGCCAGCGCTGGGTTGCCGGAATAGCCCTGAACGGGCGTATGCTGAGCTGAGTGAGGTCCCGAATGGGCTTGCTTTGCCAGTCCGGGGCCTTGCAGACCGTTTGCCAGTCCAGGAGGCTGTGCTTGTGCTGTGGACTGTTGCAGTTGCTGTGATTGTGGATGGGGACGGTTCTGAGCTTGCAGGTTCTGCAGCACGCTACCGTCGCCTTGACTCTGTGGGCCTTGTGGACCCTGGGGGCCTCTTACGGCGTTCTGGAAATTCTGACGCTGGAAATGTGCCTGTGCTTGTGCCTGTTGTGCTTGAGCCAGTATCGGTTGCAGCAGCTGTCCTGGCTGCATCATGCCCGGGCCCATCTTGTACTGGTTGACCATCGGAGGGCCTTGCAGCATCATGTGCGGTCCTCCTTCGAGCTGTGCCTCGGGCTGCGGGCTGTAGCCGCCAAACTTGGGCTGCTGGTTCTGCGACAGACCGTTTCCTTGCATGTACTGTTGTTGGGCCTGGTTCGGCGACATCTGGCGTGCCATGTGCGGCAGCGGCAGGGGACCCGACGCCATGGAGACGCCTGGGTTCATATGCTGGTTCATCATCATCTGAGAGCTTCCGTTGCCGTTGGCTGAAACGCTCATCAGACGCTGTTGCTGTGGATACAGCACGCCGTAGTTGGGCAGCTGCTGGGGCATGTTGCGGTTCAGCGGATGTTGTTGTGGCGGCATCATGGGCGAGGAGTACTGGTTGTGGAGCTGGCCCACCGACGGCGAGGCGTTCTGGATGTTCATGAACGAGCCGTTGGAGTTGCCGTTCATTGCAAACGACAGTGCCACGAGCGGTGTTCTTGAAATGGAAGGTGGTGCCGTTTAGCAGAAAAAAACTAATTCTGGCCCCTGGTTCAGGATTCTCTCCTCCTTATATGCTTTGGCTTCTTGAGTAGCACGCCTGGTGGTGGAAATGGGCCTATCCTTGGCGAAAGTCACGGGACCGGTTTCTTTCAAAATACGACGTGGCTGACGCACTGGGTGTCGGCGCTTATGTACCTGAGTGCCCTTGTCGCTGGCGCTGGCGCTGTGGAAAACGAAGAAGGTGGTTCTTGATGGTTTTGGCAAGAATCCATACATTAGCGTCCAGGGTCTTTCGGGAGTGCATACAGGCACCCTCAAGGCTCCCATACGCAAGGTCGAGGCGGGGCGCCCTGATGATTGTCCGCACTGGGTCCAGCGGGAGAGTTTAGAGTGTAGAAGTAGAAAGCAAATTGGGAAACGGGAGGAAATGGAAAAAAAGTAAACTGAATAGGGAATTGGGACGTTTTCTGATTGGCTGGGTTTCGATTTTCCGGTGTATGGATACAGGGAGGCCCGCAGGCCGCTCGGCCAGCTCCCCAGGCAGGTCTCCAGAGGCAGCAGCACACGAGAAAGGGCGTTGGCTGAAATAAGCAATTTTGGAGAGAATTGTTGAGATTGTGCTTTTGGGTGACTTGTTTTTGGTCATGGGTCTTGCAAATTGGCCCCATCGAGTGGGTGCAGCAGATCCATCTCCCCTCAGATCATCGGTGGAGAAGCATTTCAGGAAGGGTTCGCTGGAGGGGCGTTGGGAATTTGTAGTTTTTTGAGCAATTCGGGTTGTTCGATGGACAAATTGAGACCAGGCTTCGACAAAGAGTCAATGATGGCTTGGGTGCTGGCTCTTCCACTTGACTCTTTCTCCGCTCTGCCATAAATATCACGATACCAACGCAAAATCAACCCGAAACATAAAACTCACTCGATTGGCCCCTTACGGCCGACTCTGACACTTCCATTGACGTGTCTAATTTAACCTTTCTTCTCTAGCACCAGCGAGCTATAAGCCACCTCCGAGGCTTGGACCCGGCTACTTATCGATCAAGCCCCAGCGATAGCTTTGGTCCTGCCCAATGCACGTGGTAAGAGAATGCAATGGTTTCCAGCTTTTGGCCTCAAGATGGTTCTGGCGAGATTGACCTATAGTCGGCATTGTTGTAGAGGCGACTAATTAAACAATGCAAGCGATTGCGTCACCTTATTCTTAAGCCACTATTATCCGTAGCAGCACAATCTGGGCCTAGCCCAAGCCGCAAGTGGTATAGGCCGTGTCGCTATGTTGACGGGATTTTAGCTTCCCCTCCACTGAAGGAATTTTTCAACTACCACATCACTCCTCCATCTTGGCTATTCCAATTTGAATTCACTCTGCAATACTAAGGGTGGAGTTCTCTGGCTTGCAAACCCAGCGGGTCAAGGCAGGATGCTGGACGACGGGCCTTCTGGGCTTCAATGTCGACAGCTTCAGGTCCAAGTCGTCGTTGTCCTTGTCCTTCGTCTTGCCGGCTCTTCTCTTGAGAAGCTTGTTCAAGGTGTCTCTTTTTTCCTCCTCAAGCTGCTTGACCTTGTAGTCGGCTCTCCGCCTGGCGTTTTCGGCCTTCCTGTTGGCGATTTCCTCAGCCGTCTCGGCCTTCTTCTGTGTCTTCCTATTAAGCGCTAGAAGCTGCTCGTCCATTTCCTGGAACATGCTGTCATCTGATTTCTTGCCATTGCCGTCTTCGGCCAAACGGGCCCTCTGTCTCTCGGTAAGCTTCAGAACATCAGGAACCTCTGGTGTGTACTCGAATTCATCATCATAAGGCAGTTCGGAAACTGCATCTCTCGAAGAGCCTGCTGTTCTCCGGGGTATCCGAAGTTTCACAGAAACCTTCTTCTGTGGTGGTTCATCAACATATTCGTCCAGAGGCTCGTCGTCCTCCTCTCCTTCGTCATCCTCTTCATACATGGTCAACTGCCTTTTACGTGTTTCTCTGGCACTGCTGTCACTTGACACCGAGCCGGCTGCAGCGCCTCTTGTTCTTCTCTCTTTAGCATGAACTTTAGGAGTGTACCAGTCATTCTGCAACTCTTCCATTTCGTTTGAGTTGGTTTCTTCGTCTTCCTCGTCACCCAATCCAATGTCGTCGGAGACCTGGGCATCACTCAACTCCTCGGATCTCTCTCCGAGGTCGGACATATCGGCGGAATCTTCGTCGTCGCTGACTGCAATCTTAGGGGGCATTTTGGGGTAAAGAACTGGGTTGTAGTTGGTTGATCCAAGAGGAGCGTACTTTGGTGATATCTTGCACCCGTACACCTCCAACCTACGACACAGCCTATGCTACGGAAAAACAACAAAACGTATGCTATGTATTGCTTCTAGTAAGCCTGGCCGCTCATGAAAAGACCCTTGATGCCACGAATCTCGCCCTTGGCCTCCAGGGCCAAGTTCTTCTCCTTGGACGTGCCATCTGCCTGCAAAACGTCTCTGAAAAACATATCTCTGTGGCTGAAAAAGGCATTGTCTGTCTTTTGCTGGAACTGCTTGATTGACGAATCAACCAGGCGGTAGCTGGGCATCTCGCTGATCAGGAAACTCGTACATTGCTTCAAGCCTGCGTTCAATACACCAAGCTTCTGGTAGAGCTTCTCCAGACCCAAGGTACGGATATTGTTGAGTTCGGTATCATTTGAAGCCTGAGAGTCCAGGGTTTGGCACACAGCCTCGGCATAAAGCTTTTTGGTTCCAGGTCTGTGAAGAGCCACTATAGGAATATGCTCCACTCTGCCAATCACATTGAGGTACAAGTCCCGTAGTTGCGATCTTGCCAGCTCAAGGAGGTCGAGTCTTCTGAATGCACGGGTTTCTAGCAACGGCCTGATGCCGAAGATTCCAATGATGTATGCTAAAATCAAGAGGGCTGCAGACCCGTTGGTCAATTTGAGGAAGTATTGAAAAAGACGGGATCTTCTGCGAGCCACGACTCCAGCGAGTCCTGCAGCATCAAATGCAGCTTCAGGTATAGTGACGATGGGAATCGACATCTGTGTTTTGCTGGTGTTTCCTGAAGGTGTATGTGGATATCACGAAGAATTGTGGGGAGGATTAGTGGACCTCGGTGAGTGTGGTGCACGGGTGTAGAGGTGGACCTGGTGCTGGAGCCTAAGGTAGTTAGAGGTAAAGTTTTTGAATGTACTGGATTTTTTTTTTTTTTTATTTCTTCATTTGCTTTATTCTCGATTTAGGCTATAGATTTCAAGAGTTTTGTCTGAGCAATAGGCGATGTTGGAAGTATAGGAAATTTCTACTACTATTTGTCTCAACTGGATCAATGTTGCCCAGCTCATGCTAATATCATCACAATTAGCATCACTCTGTAAGGAAACTTAATTCTTGACGCTTGTAGGCCCTTTCTTTCAATTGGTCACGAGCTTCTCTTTAGAGTCTACCACCCACATTGTCTCCACCACCTACACCTACACCTTCTTTATAATTTTATTTATTTTTTTCTTACTTTTTATACTTTTCCTTTTTTTTTTTTTTTTTTTTTTTTTTTTGGAAAGTCGAGCCAAAGCCCAGAGACTTGGAGAACCCAGGAGCCAATCGATGCAAAGAACTTCCACTTTCCATCAATCACTCCTACCTCCACCAGTCATGTCTTGGTGACCTTGTAGTCCTCCGTCTGGCCCTCAAGAGGCGATTTTGCCGCCTTTCTCGCAGCTTTCTTCGCCTCTCTCTTCTTCTTGTTCTTGAGAGCCTTTCTTCTCTTGGAAAGCTTGGAGGTCTTCTTGGGGACTTGGGTTGCAACGGCTGGTTCAGCACATTCTGCTTCCTCGTTGGTCTCAGCAAACCTGACTTGTTTTGGCTGTTTTTGGTGATTCGCCTTGGAGGTTTCCTTGGAGGTATCCTTGAGAATCAGCTTGGGAGGAGGTCTAGCCTGACCAGACTTCTTCTCCTTGGTACTCTTCTGATTCTTCTTCTTCTCCTTCACGTCGTTGACAACAGCATTGAGCTGCTTCTTTTCAACAACCTTCTTTTTTTCCCGGACCTTCGCCTTCCAGTTCTCCACATGCTGCTTCCAGCGGAGCTTGTCGTGGAAGGATTCCCGGAGCTTGTTGAAGTAGATGCTCTGGGCAATGCACTTTGAGCCAAAGTTGTCGAAAGCATAGTACTTGTGCAGCATAAAGAACTCGAACTCTCCAGGAGCCCAGTTAAAGTACACTCTTTTGTTATCGTGAGTGACTAGCTCCCTGGTAGGAAGCCAAGTAGACTGCAAGACGTCTCTAACAAAGACGCAGCCTTCTCCGTACCAATACGGATGGACGTTGAAATTAACAGCGGTAGGCAAAATGTCGATCATTGTAATTGAGTTTTCGTTTGAAACTGTTTTTTGAATTGTTTGTTCACTTGTGTTCTGCTATGTATCAACGGCTTGCTCAAGGGGAATTGGACAAGATTGATGCTGTGGTGGGTGATGATGATGATGAAAAAGGATACGGGATCCTGCTGGATATATAGCTGTTGAAACAGGCTGTGCCATCTTGCTGAGTAAAGCTATGGCGGGATGACCTCGTGGGTTTGATGACGCTGAAGAAAGAGGTAGGTGGAGGGTTCAATGGATCAGTACGTTCTCTAAAAGTGGAAGGCCCGGTAGCATTTACAAAATATTCTGCACATCCACTGCAAATAAGGTAAGTCTACTGCAAGTAGGGTAAGCTAAAATTTATTTGATGACCAGCTAAGGCGGGTCTACCATCTGTGGGCATATCTAGTAGGTAGTAAGAATTAAAATATCACGGCAAGTGGTGGGGATGTCAGCCTTATATTTGAAGATATTATAATTTTGGCAAGCAGTTGGTAATTTTGGCAAGAACACCAATTGCAATGCATTGTATATTGACCGCTTTCAAGTGCTTGTGGAAGCGTTGGATTGAAGTACCCGGTGTATGAATTCAAAATCAAGACGTAATGCCAGCAAAATTGCCTCCAATTAAAATTCCAATTGAAATGCCACTTTTATAGGTCTATGGGGGTATGCTGTCGATATGCTGCTACTCAATAAGCATAAGCGTCGACTACCATCTCTCACTATCGTCATACCACTAGTACACCCACCATCACAATCCTGACAACCGTTCATACCATTAACTCCCTCTCATCCCTCGAAATCCCCCCATGCCAGCCACCACCACCTACACCCTCACCCTCAAAATTCCATCCCTTTCTATGTACAAGTTAATCTATAAGGTCACCGACGGATTTCGTGTAGGTGCCCCTTCTATCGTTGTCTCGTTTCTTGCGGCCCTTCAGCTGGGTCTTTTCCACCAACTGCCGCTGCTCTATCTGTCGCTGGGCTAGAAAGCCATGCACTTTTACCACCGTAGATGCCCTGGGAGCCTTGACCTTCTCGGTACTCTTGGTCTCCCGCTTTTTGGCCTTCCGCTTCTCCGTGCGTTTCTCGATATCTTCAAGTTCGCCTTCTGTAGGCGTCCACTTGGACTTGAGGATTCTGCGGATGTTCTCTGGGTTGATCTGGAACACATCGGCTATCTGGACGGTCTTTATCGTGGGAATGCGTTGTTTGAGCTCACGAATCTCGGTAATCTGCTGCCTAGTGAGCTTTCTGGTTGGATTCCACGAACCGTAACGCTTCTTATGCGACTGTTCCCTCTTGACCCATGCTGGAGCGTTTTTGGCATGTTCTCTATCTGCTTCCCTGATTTTTTGCTCAAACGCCGTTTCTGACCGAGGAGGCTTGGCGTACGTTCGAAGCGGCTGCCATAGAGTGAATGCTGGCTTTTGTATGGGGATATTCAGCCGGAGGCATAGTCGGCACCACATCTTCACGGAGTTCTTGGTAGAAGAGTACAGAGATAGTATGTAGGCTGCGATGCGTGTGGAGGAGGACCATAGTGAAGCAAAGAGGGCAAAAAGTGACGAAAACAAAGAAAAAAATAGACGATGGCCCGATTGTGCAAAAAAACACGAACAGACCGTGTTTTCATTATGAGACCCTCCAAGACGTGACTATGGCATTGTTAGACGTCTGTCAGAGATTTGTTTTCGCAACCTTCCTTGTTTTTCCCACCGTCCTGCGATATCAGCCGTGGGAGGTGAATTTGGCATCCTGACAGCAAAAATTGAACTTACAGGGATATTCCTTCTATCTTATTTTCAGGTTAATATTCATAAAAAATAACTTATTTCTTCCTTCACCCCAAAATCAAACCAAATCCTGAAACCGTTCGGTGCCTGAGACCACAGTCCTGTACGCAGCGCACAACCGAGATTCCCTTCTTCCCCGATACGAAAGATAACACAGCTTAGCACAACTTTCCGGTTGGTAATTGCTGCGCTTCTGGAACTTTTCATGAACTTTCTCAAGAAGTTTATAGGAGCATCGCCCATCGATGAGGTGGCCCTGATTCCGTCTGGTAAACTCTTCCTTACCAGAGCGCCGTTCCTGCCCAAGGGAGCCCTAGAGTGCTTATACAACGATGCCCTTATCAAGATCAAGAAGACCACGAAGGAGCACTACTACCAGATTTCCATTATCAAGGCGTGCCCGGAGGGCGAACTAAACCTGGAATCTGTCGATGACGAGGGAGACGACGGAGAGTCGGATGATAGTAATGAGGACAGCGGAAACAACGACGAGAAGGTGTTTTCCATTGACCCCGAGCTCAAATTCCGTGTCTACACCAAGAGCGACGGAACACAGGCGATTTCATGGAAGGACGTGAACGGAGATTTGGGCGACCGCTTCGAATTCTCCGTTGACGAGGATATCAAGTACACCGAGGTGGACAACTTCACGTTTAGCTTGTACAAGTGTTTGTACGAGCTTCGGTACCAGAAGTCTGCCGACGACATCACCGACATAAACCAGCTTTCTGAGTTTGTGTACGATCCTACTACAGACGACGAGGCTGTGGAGATGGACAGGTTCTCTCGTTTTGCCATGTCGTGTGCGTCCTCGCAAGAGCTACGGTGAAGACGAATGAAGCATTTTCCGAATTTATTGATGCCTGATGCTAATTGACGGTGCCCGCTGAGCGAACCGCCAAGACCTATATTTATCGACAGACCAGGACCCAGAGGGCCTTTTTTGGTGCTCTAACCATCCCTGAAACCAGCAGGGACGGCTTGCAGGTATTCGCCATGCCATGTCGTTTCATACAACGACCGCCAGACCGTTCAGCAGAACTGGTCCCCATTGCCCGGTGGCGAACGAGCCGAAACCACTATTTATACGATCCTTGAGTGCAACCACACGTTGCTACCTTCTGAAAGTGAATGCTTTCTTGAGCTCGTCCCAGAATATAATCCGTACAGCGTTGACCTTGTGGAACTGGGTTGGTTTGTAGTTTTCAAGAAAGAGCTTCTTGCCGTGCTCTAGGGGCTGCTCCTCCAAAGGAATTCTGTTTATACGAGCGTGGATCCTCCTCACCCAAGCGTGGAAAGCAGGAGAGCTCATGAGCTTCCTGTAGAGGATCTCCTCGAGGGACATTGGCGGCATTTTCGGGAAGATGTGGAGATGCTCTTCGACCTCGAGTAAGTAGGAAGGGTCTATCTGTGCGCCAGTGCACCCGTGCACCACGCACTCAACACGGTATAGTGAGCGTTCAATGTGTAACACCTCAACAACCAAATCAAGGCTCACCATGATTACCGACAATGAGTTGAACACGGTAGTGTTGACATTTGGCTTTGTGTCTGTGGCGCTTGTGCTTGTGTACCATGCCATTTCCACCAACACGAAGCACCACCAGGAGTAAGTCGATCGTGTATAGCATGAATGAAGAGCATATGAAGCGACGTGTAGATGGGATATAGGGAGGTGTTCGAGGGGTTTAGAGAGCTGTTTTTGAGGGATTTGTCGAGGAGAAGGTTAATTGATAAGGATGGTTATTCTGGTGATATCGTGAGTACGAACCGTGATAACTGGGTATTGCGGTTAGCGGGGGACAGGTGTACCACTATTTCGAGGCAGTGAAAGTGAAGTGGTGTTTTTTGGATTAGGAGAGAAAGCAAGAGTGCTTGATTTGGATAGCCTTGAGTCGGTGGCGATCAGTAATGATATGGGTGGTAAGACAGAGACATGAAGAGTGCACAACAGGTGACTGAATCGGCCAGTGGCCACTTGAAAATTTGAAAATTTATTTCACTCATTAGCTTACTTTGCCAGACCAGACAGCTAAATCCCATTGGATGACTAAAATGACGTCTAAAGCGACATCAGCTAAAAGTGCCCACAACCAGGTATCAACATCACCAAAAACCCCCACCAGAAGTCGATATGACCAGATGCCAATATTACCAGGAACCCAGAATCATTTCGAAGGAGGCAGGTGTCCCCGAAGACTCAAATACGAGGGACTAAAGCAGCGTACATTCCCCAGATGCATCAGCCGTGCTGGATAAGCATTTCTCGAGAGAATCGGGCAATCGCCAGAAACGCTCCCACGTCAGGGCCACCATAAACCAGGACAAATCAGGAATCCGTGCATCGTCGAGCCATTGACCCCACGTTTGTGCACCCATTCTTCTAAAAAACCGTGACCCCTCCAACCGTCGAGGGACAATGCTGGAGGCCGATCCTGAAGGCCGACGGTGCTTCACTTGGCAGAAACAACAATCCCACTGGGCCTAAGCCTGTACTGGCGCCTCGCTTCGAGTTACACATACGCCGGGCGGGCTCACAATGGGTGCAAACCTGCCATTATCGCAGAGGAGGAGGGAGATTCCTCAAGGAGACTATTTGACGGAAGGGGCAAGGGGGCACGAACGGGCCAGGAGTCAAGGGACAGGCACGATCCTGTCGTGCCCTGTTGATTGGTGAATTAGTTTTAAAATGCCTCCAAAAGATGGATGCCCTGGGGGTGCCCTGGCTGCTTGAAACCCCAGTCAACTAAATTTGCATCCGATTCAGCCCCACAACTAAATCGCATTAGGCCGCACCAGGGCGCACCAGGGCGCACAGGGACGCAGAGACTGACCGCAAATTAGGTTTCTGCAAGCAAATAAACCGCATTCCCGCAGGCTCGAGGGGAACGTGGAGGCCTGTGGCTGGCAGAATTAGCAGCCTCGCGCCAGCCAACGGTGTCGATCGAAAATAGCCCGATCTGCGCAGTCACCAGATGATCGGCTGCTGACTCGGGACGTCTTGGGGAATTTGACTATTGGGTTTGGAATTTGTGGAATTTGGTTGGAATTGGGATTGGAATTTGACTTGGAATTTGAGTTTGGGGAAGCTCAGGGATAATTCAGTAAAACACTGCAAGCTTGGATGATTCGACGTATCTGCTCGGGGTCGGACTGTGCTCGGCAGCAGGCTTGCGACGTCACACCGGCTGCTCCAGACAGGGCTAAGGCAGCAGAGGGGTCTGGTCTGAGGGGACCCTCTGCCAGACAATGGCCTGGGCCTACTGGGCCGCAGGACCAGGAGGACCAGGTATTCAGTTATTCGAGATATTATCTGGCCGAAGTAATTTTGTTGAGTTGGTCAGTTTCGCTTAAAGCCATAACTAACCCACCGATTGCTTTCACTAACCGGCCGCTCAGTGCCATAACTAACCCATCGCTTTCATGTGCGGGGTGCAGGGACCCCAATCACACCGCACAACGGCCAGCACGAGCGGCTTGGCCCTGTGAATTTAAACCTTTGTGCCCTGCTGCCGCCTGCCTGGCGCCTGTGTCGCCTGCCTGCGGGCCTGCCGCTTCACCACAAACAATCGGGAAAAACCCTCCCGCGAGATCCACTTCACGCCTGCGGCTTTGCTCTGCACCCGGCTCCGCAGACCGTTGGCTCCGCGGAATTTGTGGCTGCAACGCTCCACGCACTGCCTTATAAACAGCCCCCTCCCTGTTTTCCAGCACACACCACCACCACACACCACGCTCCACACTATCACGATTCTTCCTCCATAACTAAATTCTTAAAAGTATATGATGCCCCCCACGGCGTGCTCCATCCCGCCGCTCGAGGAAATCGTGGCCCCCGAAACGGCGCTAGCCAACTGCGGTCCCTACTCCAGAGCCAACTTCGTCGCCTACCTCGCAGCGGCCCACTGCACCGAGAACTTGGAGTTTGTGGTGGAAATCGACAGATTCCACGCCGCCATGGCTCGCGCCCTGGTCGAAACCCTCGCCCACCAGTGGCGCGTGCTCCACAAGGTCTTTATCGCAAAGGACCTGATCAAAGAAGTCAATATCCCCTGGACGCTCCGGCGCCTGCTTCTGCCTGAAACACTCCCCCTGCCGGCCGAGGTCGTGCAAACACGCAGCGTCGTGTACGAGCTTTTGCTCGACAGCTACAACGAATTCATCTTCCACACGCGGGAATCCACAAACGACAGTACCACGCTCCGGCGGCGCCTGGAGGCCGTTCCGCCCGACCAGCCCTGGCTGCCGCACGCAGACGTCGGCCCGTGTGTGCCCTGCACTGCGGGCGAGACCGAATACCACCGGCCCAGTGCGGCGGGTCTCAAGGACCAGTGGGAAAAGGCCTTGCTTGATTTTGAGGTGGGCAAGTCCGACGTGAACGAGGTGACCCACGCGGAGCAGCCGAGTCTGGATTCTTCGAACTACGGCCTGCTGCGCAGTAGAAATGGGTCGGACGGGACGGTGAGCCTGTCGCGAACCTCGCGGTGCTCTTCCATCGGGTCCGTGGTGGAGGGCATCAAGGGGTACCTGGGGTTTAAAAAGGCCGTGAGGCGGTTGCGGCGGGGCAGCGACGAGCCGGGCGAAAAGTGGTGATTGCAGGCTATTAGAGCAAACACCGTCGGTACTAATCTTATGTTTTGCAGAACCTGCTTGTCCTCGGTTTCGCAGCCACCTACATCCGCCCACATGCCCGGCAGAAGCCCAACAACGAGCCGGTACAATTAGTGGCCGGTACAATTAATGGCCGGCTTTTGGCGATAAGGAATGAGAAGGGGTATAATGCTTTGGACTGCTATTTAAAAGGTGAGACTCTATGTCCACTCAAGCTGGTCCAAGGTCGATACGTTTTGAAGGTAGCCCACTCGCAAGTGCCATGTCCTCGGCTGACGTCGAGAGAACCTGACATTTAAAGGTGACTTCTGTGAATTGGCTGAAATTAGCCTCACTTTACCTCGAACTCATCAGAATGGCCTTCTACCTTCGGCACCTCAAACCTCATACCAGCTGCTTCCCCGATTCCACAACTGCCAATCTTGTCCCATCGAACTACCTTCCCCTGGTTCCACCACTCTTTTGCTACACCGACTTTCCCCTCCGTCGCTTACATCATGGAGGACCTTGACGTCTCGGCTGCTACACCTGCCGATTCCTGTACACCCGCTTTTCACCAACGACTGCCACTCTTTCTATACGCCCCGGCGCCTTTCTGGACAGTGCCTTTGAGGCCATTTATAGACGAATAGACACGACTAATGATTGACTTTTTGTTTTGATTTATGCGGCTGCGACTGCGGCGCTGATAAGATAAGACCGGTGATGTAAGTAACGTTACGTCCCACATACAGTAGCTATCAGTAGGTGTTTCAAGATCAAGGCTTTGCACGATTCCATGTATTTTACTAAATTTCGGCTAAATTTGACATGACAGTTTTAGTTGCTGTTTCTTTGAAACGAATATTTTTGTATTTTTGATGTTGTGTATCTTCTTGATGTATCTGTTGTTGTTCCTAGAAGCGTTTATTTTGCCTTGTACTTTTAAAATCTTCAAAATGTTGACTATTTTGAAACAGGCAATTCTGCCCAATTCACTTGTTAAAGCTGTCATTCCTTACCGTAACTTCAAACAATTTCTACACTTCGTGGCGAAGCGATACATTTTTGAATTGCCGGGCTTGAAGCCATATCTATGTAGAATTAAATGTGTGGTGGATCACTCCCGCTTGGCCTTCTCCTTCAACAAGAGAAGCTCCTCGTCGGAGTTGCGGTTCCCCTTTTCGATAATGAGATTCTTGAGAAGCCTGTTCTCCATCTCGAGCTCGCCAATCTTCACCTCAAAGTTCTGGATGAGATCGTGGAGCAGCAGAATCTTCGACTCCATCTCCTTCTCCTTCATCTTCTTCTTGATTCTGAAGCGGGCACTGGCGGCTGTGTTTCTCTTTCTTTTATCCAATTCCGTGCCTCTATCCGTGGACCTGCCTTCGCCAAAATCGCCCGTGCTCAGCATGCTGGGCGTCGCTAGCGCAGAACTGGTTTCTGAGCTGAAGGCCGAAGCCACGGAGCCTGGGGTGCCCACGTTGGACTGGTACGCCATCGTTGGGGCAATTCCCAAAAGAGGATTGTTATCTAGTCCTTGAAGAGGGCGGTTCTGGCTCTGGAAAGGGTCTGCAAGATCTGGAGTGACGTTGCCCTGGTGCTGAGCGATCAATGCGGAAAGCAAGTCGATTTGGTACAGACTGAGCCCAGCCTGCTCCAACGACGACTTGGCGCCCGGAGGAACAGGGAACTTCGGGAGGTTCGAGAGATCCCGCTGAGGTTCACTTAGAAGATTGCTGTTTTGATCGTCGGCGGGGCCTGTGGAAGCTGTGGGTTGTGGAGCAGCCTGACTGGGGAGCGTAGGAGGAGTAGCCGTTTCCGGATGGTTATTGTGATGCTGGAGACGGTTTCTTTTCGCTAGTTTCGTGCGTTCGTTCACACTGAGCCCGCGAGGATCCTTATCCTTGAAACTCCGGCGGTGTTGTCTTGCTGACTGGCTGAACCACGCGTCATTGTCGTTGTCGCCGCCATTTGTATCGAAAGCCGCCAGACCCGAGGCAAGCTCGTGGTGGAACGGCGTGTCGTCGTGTTCGTTCAGGTCGTCTTCGTGTTTAGGCTTGTCTTCGTCAGGAAAGACGAACGAGTCGTCTGCAAACGCTGCTAGGTCAAGCAGCAACTGGCTATCCACGTCGAGGTTCGGCGTGTCTTCGGCGGCGGTATTGATGAAGTTGTCGATGTACACCAACTGGTCTATCAAGGCGTTGGATGTTTCTGGCATTTGCTGCTAGGGGGCGAGTGGCTTTTTGAGTGTAACTAGAACAGAGGTGATGATGCTCTGCGAGAGTGCATTTCAGGGCCGAGAAATCGGTTGGGAGAGTAATTCCTGGGCGGGCCTTGTTTGTAAAGGGTCGGGTTGGAAAAACAGGAAAGAAACGTGAAGCACTGATCCAACTTGCCTTATAACGCCCCGCCAAACATGCCTAATTAAGCGACGCTAATACTGTGGATTGGTTCGCTACATCATCCACAGTTTACGTCTTGCGCACAAACGTGAGCACTCTTGCGCTCGACAAAGGCGCCATAGCCGCTGCTGCAGGGGTTGTGCTGTATTTGCTTGCGGCACATTTCGAAAATCCCCTAGACACTCCTCAGCCCCGTCTGGACGGCTTGATCATGGCTGCTTAACTATGGCGATTATGCCATGTCACGTGACTTATGCTGGTGGGCCATAGCCTGCGCAACGTCTAATGTGCGCTGCGTACACTTGCCAGGTGCGCCATGTCATGTGCTGCCGCCACGAGGCGCCCTCACAAATAACCAGGTTAAGTACTGGTGCACGGGTGTTTTACTGCCCTAACAAACCCCAGGTCTACCGCCGCTTCGGTAGATAGGCCAAAAATTTCTGGGCCGTTTAGCAAACGAGGTGGCCCCAAGTGCTTTTGGCTTAAATCCTCTTTGTGTCTCGCTTCTGATCACGAGTGATGGTGTAAAAGAAACCGAGCAGCTTATGGCCGGATGCAGCGTGCAATACGCTAAATAGCGGGCCTGATCTATATTTGTTCAGGCGGGATTCTGCATTAGGCACGGGACAGCAGGCGGACCTAGTGGCTGCAAATGCGGCGGTGGGGGACCTGATGAGCCTCTGTGGGGGTCGGTTTTGGGGGGTTCGGGATGGTAGGTTGTAGAGATGGTGTGGAGATGGTGTAGAGATGAGGTTGAAAAATTGGGTATAAATAGTTCGTTCGAAGTTTTGGAATATTTTGTGGAAGATTGTCCACTTCTCAGTTAAAGACGACTTGTGTTGGCGTACCTGCTGCAGCTCTGGAATTTGCGATGCAGAATACTGATGGATTGGCGATTTGCAATCGATGGCTCAATTGGCGTTTGGCATGGAACGGCGCTAACTGTGAGGTGATTATTGAATTGGTTTGATGTGAAATTAGGTGGTCAATTGTTGGTAAAGATTCATAATGCTGTGATGTGCTACTTTCTTGAAATTTTTCAATAACATTGTACATTGTAAAGGCATCAAAGTTTACTACATCCTGCGGTCTTTGTTAGTTGTCTGAATAATTAAGTGAATTACTTTGCTTCCGGCTTATTTGGCAATACTTAATGAATGAGCTCCGTGGTTGGTAAATCTTTAATCCACGCCAGAGCAAAAGTAAGGTGCCACCAAAGGCACCATCAACATTATAGCGCCATTCGCCGTGGCGTTGATCAGGCACATTCCGTATGTGGACGGAGTCTTCTAGGCTTGTTCGTTCCACGCATCAGAAGCACCTCACCAACAAGCTTTGCGATCTTCCCACGCCTGGCTAGAAGCTGTCTCTCTGTACATACAATTTTTTCTTCTCTTCTCCTATTCATCACACCTAAGATAGGGTTAGATTTACGGATTTGTGTAGGCTGAAATGGAGAATAGAGGTGCCAGCTTCTCTTCACAGTGGTGATAACGAGACCCTCAATCAGATTCCTCGATACTTCCATAGTCCTTGAAAAATTAATAAAGTTCGAACAGTCCGTTTAAGCTATGATATGGGAAGCTCGGTCAATGGAAGATCCGTATCCTTGTGCCTTGTTCAATATTGACTGCCTCGAGTTGACTGCCTCGAGCACCACAAATCATAAAGTTAGCAAGTCAAACGAGTAATTTAAGTCAATTGATGGATTCCCATGGAATTAAATGGCAAATTCAGAGTTAAACTCCATCTCTCGATTAAGCATTTGCTGAATCGTGGATTTGCACAATCGTTGAATCACACAAACTCCACTGCTCACTACCTCATGCCTCGACTGAAAGCCCTCTACAAACACCGCTCAATTGACCTCCACCTTTCCCTTCTCTATTCAACACTCTATCCAATAACAAAACACTTCCTCAAGAAAACCCCCCAACCCACTCCCCTCGGCTGTTTGGCATGTGCTCCGGCTAACAGGGCGAAAGCCCTAGCACGCCAAGAGTTCTGACATCATCAACGGTTGCACGATTTCCACCAAACACCGCCAGACCCGGATTGATCCGTAAATCACGAGGAGAGAAAATACGAACCTAGCCGAATTTTACAAATCAGAACTATTTGTCCCAATACATAGCAGCCATACAGCTACAGCACGGCTGCAACACCACACATTGAACCTCCAGCCAAACAAAGCACAATGACGGATCCCGGTCTGTTCCGTAGAAACACCCCATTCAGCGGACAATCCAAAATGACGTATTTGTTGTTGAATCGGCTCTCCTCTCTTGTCTACTAGCACCGCTTCGGGTTTAGGACCCTGCCACAACATCCGAAAATTAGTCAAGCTAAAATTTTTCAAATCCAGCGGGGAATTCAAAATAATCGAATGGGAACCACCCGCTCGGCGTGAAATACCTTTAGTTCCTAAACCCAGTCTCCGCTTTCGGCCGTTAGCACACCGCGGGCGTTCGGGTATTACAGGGTAATGCTCGCACTTGAAAGCCCGTGGTTGCGCTATCGGGGCCCTATCTCCTGCACACAGCGCGGCGTAGCGAGGTGCGGCTACAGTACAATTCACAGCGTCTGAAAAAATTTATG